AAAGGTAGTTTAAGAAGAAATAAACAGGAAGCAAATAAAGAGATAGGAGAATAATAAAAAAAATAATAATGTAAATTTTCTAACAAGCTAGGCAACTGTTGGTTACATCTTGGGACAGGTCAGTACAGTAGCTGGCCAAGTAGCAGGGGGGATCTCGAAGCCTAACATCAGGCTCCCTGTTTCAGTGACTATAGAAAACCACACAGCCATACACAGGATGAGCACGGAATACATTAATAAATTACTGCTCGCCAAGTAAGTACGACTGCGCCACGGGGACCACATTTTCATAATAATAATAATAATAATAATTTATTTGCAGGAAGGTAGAATGGGTTGGTGAGATTACATAAGATTGGTAATTCATGCAAAGTCACTAACACGCATAGCGTTTCAAGCAGGGTATTTGGGTATAATACCGCCTGCTACAGAGTGCATATAATGTAATGAATAAAACAAAGTAATGTAAATAATAGTGTTATGCACAATAACTCCTGTATGTGGTGTAGTTCTGAGCGAATTTGGCTCAACTGAAAGGTCCTATACAGTACATTAAATTCCCGCGGCAAGATAGAAACGTTTGGGCACGTTTCCTTTCATGTCACATTAATGTTAGTTTAGTTCATTTATTATGCACCCCATACCCATCCTGTGGGTGTAAGAAAAAATGGTTACGGAGGCACATAATGGACTTAGAGACTGAACCACAAAATTCAATTAATAATAATAATAATTTTTATTTAGGTAAAGGTACATACATAAAGAGATTTTACAAAGTTTGTTGGCTTTATAGATAGAGCTAGTACATACAATGCCTAAAGCCACTAATTACGCAAACCGTTTCGGGCAGAAGCCCGAAAATTAGCTAAGCAAGTTACGATCTTGATGAGCTAGTTACAAAATTCAGTGATAATCACCACATCTCCCATGCCAGCCAAGTATGTTGCATCCAGCTGTTGTTGTTGTTTTAGATCCAGCTACTCAACTTCAAACAAAGAACCAGGAGAGGGCTCCTTCAGGACAGAACATAAAGGAACGGGAAGAGGTGGTGAGTGTGTTCGGGTCTAAGATCTGGAAACGGTTGTGAGACTGAGTAAGGTGGGAAGGACGAGGAGAGGTAGAACATAACATGCGAGCGTAGATTATGCCAGCGAAAGGGGTGAGATGGCGAACTTGGCGTCTCGCTTCAGGAAAAGGCAGACGATCCCGGTGTTTCAAGTTGAGGACGGCTTCCTCAAGTTTGTAGTGTATACACGAGTGGGAGAAGGTAGGGTGGGCCTCACCGCAATTGAGGCAGCGAGCCTGGGGAGAAGTGCACTCTGACTTAAGAGTGATCATCGGCTCCACACATGGGGCATAGATATATCTTGAGATGATTTCGGGACTTAGTGTCCCCACGGCCCGGTCCTTGACCAGGCCTCCACCCCCAGGAAGCAGCCCGTGACAGCTGACTAAATCGCAGGTACCTATTTACTGCTAGGTAACAGGGACATCAGGGTGAAAGAAACTCTGCCCATTGTTTCTTTCCGGCGCCCGGGATCGAACCCAGGACCACAAGATCAAGTGTACAATGTTCTGTCCGCTCAGCCACCGGCTCCCAGATACACAGTACTTGAACATTTGAGGACACCATGCCGAACTTCCAGCACTTATTGCAAAGTCTAGGAGAGGAAATGTAGTCCTGAACACCAGGAGTACATTGGTGTACATTGGAGTACACCAGGATGTGTGGTGCCACACATCTGGCACCAGCAAAAATTATAGACGGTGGAAGGGTCCTACTATCAAAGGTGATTTTCACAACTCGGACGGGCTGAAGGCGACCCCCAACCTCCCGACTCGATCCCCACGAGGGGGTCGAGTGAACGTGTCTACCTGTAAGACAGGATGGCGTTGGGCTTCGAGGATATGTTTAATATCCTCATGGCAGTCTTTTAAGTCCCTATCACCAGTTGCAACATGGAACAGGAGGAAAATAGTGCCAACACTGGCATTTAACCGAGCATTTTTTGAGATCCGAACAGGGGTCTCTCCAATGCAGGACAATGCGGCTAAGCGGGTAGCTGCATCCGGTGAAGGAGCAGCGACAACACAGGTACTGAGACGGGTGGGGTTGAAAGTAACAGAGGCATCTACGGAATCAACAAGGTGCCTATGGAGGGAGAAATCATCAGGAGGTGTAGAATCCAGAGAGAGATCAAAGAATTTGGCCCACGAAGCGGGACCAAACAAGGCTTGGTGCTCATCAGTACAGGAAGGGATCGAGCGAGTGCGGCTGTGGCGTGGACGGAGTTGAGAACCTCCAGAGAGGGGTTAAAAGGCGCAGTAGTCACAATGAGAGACTGAGCCATGCCAGGGGATGAAGTGGTCACCACTGGGGACTTGTGGCTCGACCCAACCACATAGGAGGGAGGGGAGCCAAGGAGAGCAGTCAGGTGGGTCAGAGGAGGAGCAAGGTCGGGGCCCAATGCAGCGGGGGCTACAAAGCCAGGTCTTCCAACACAGTCCGACTCGACTCGGGGCCTGGTCGCCCACCCCATGAACTCGAGAAGGTCCAAAAGGAACAGAATTAGACATAAAGACGAGAGAAAAGACATTTATTCATGAATGTGCCTCCACACCCACCACGGAACCACAATTAGAGGAAGGGACACTTAACAAGAGACAAGAGATGTTGCTAATCGTGCTGGGGGCCCCCTAGGGGTGCGTCGTGAGTATATACTCCACAAACGCCACCTTAAGAACCATCAGGCTGTCGAGTTTGGGTTCAGTGACGAAAGGAGGATTGACAATACAGGTAAAAGCATCCTCTCGCTCACGACGTCGGGTACCACAGTTCTATGGGTGCAAGAGTATGCCTCCCCAAACACCCGGGGGTCAAAATAGAAGAAGGCCAAAAGAATAATCAAAACAGGCAAAAGGTCGGCGGGAAATAACAATGAGAAAGGAGAAGAGGGGGGGGGGGGAGATAAACAAAACATAAGGAAAAGGAAAAGTTATCTGGCCCAATTCGCAAAGACAGCAGCAGGAGCACAAGGCTACAAAAGGACAGAGGACTGTCCCATGGAGCATCACACTCTAGCAGCCACCCACCAAGCCCCCCTCACGGCAACAACGGGCCAGATAGGGAGGGGGTCCTCATCTGAAAGCTGCCTTCATTGCCTCTTTGACTTTCTTATGACATCTACATGTAGTGAAAACCAATTTACCTTTGCCCTACCTGAGACACTCCTCGGCCTGGAGAAAACTATCGCAACACGACTCCTGATGTCATATGCCAAAGGTGTGCCAGTGCCCAGCTATGCATTTAATATTCTTGAAAACCCAGTCTGGTTCATTCCACCACCCTCTTGTGAAGGATATATTTATTCAAACAATTATCTTGAGATCTTGAGATGATTTCGGGGCTTTAGTGTCCCCGCGGCCCGGTCCTCGACCAGGCCTCCACCCCCAGGAAGCAGCCCGTGACAGCTGACTAACTCCCAGGTACCTATTTACTGCTAGGTAACAGGGGCATTCAGGGTGAAAGAAACTTTGCCCATTTGTTTCCGCCTCGTGCGGGAATCGAACCCGCGCCACAGAATTACGAGTCCTGCGTGCTATCCACCAGGCTACGAGGCCCCACATTAATGATTTCTCTATTCATTGCTAGACACTATCAAAGAGAATGTAAAAATATTCATGAGGATTTTCTTTATCCTTTGTATCAAATATATTTTAGCAAGAGTTAGTCGGACTAAGTCACTTCAGTAGCACTTTTATCATATGGAAAAGCAGCAGGTTGTTATTTAGTACTTTTCAGTACTTGCACAATGAAAACCAAAATACTTACCAAATTCAGAATAACTAACCTCAAACTGTGTGTGCACACATCGCACATCATGGTATGAATGCTATGAAAAGTAAATGTCAATCAAAAAGATTCTGGGAGATTATACAAATATTCTTACAATGACTACACATATCCACTTGGTAATACTTTAAGTAAATGAGTATTGCAACCATGATGAGTCAAGTATCTGAAGGCATTAATTATGACTATTAAGCAGCATTTAAGTCACAGGTAAAACCAAGGTACAGTACAGGTACTTATATGTTACTTAAGGTGGTAGTATAAGAGCAGAAAGATTATGAGCTTAAATACATTAAAGTACAATAATCCAATTTACTGAAGAGTATCTGATAATAGTTGGTTTATCACAAAATTATTGGTCATAATGAAGTCTCATACTATCTTCCTCTGTCATAATCCTCCTTATAATTTTTGCATCATCAGCAAACATTGAGAGGAACGAGTCTATTTCCTTTGGGAGATAATTTACATATATCGGAAACAGTATAGGTCCAAGGACTGATCCCTGTGGGACTCCACTGGGATGCCTTGCCATCCTGAGACCTCACCCCTAACAGTGACTCTGTCTTCTGTTGCTTAGGTACTCCTTTATCCAATGGAGTACCTTCCCTTGCACTCCTGCCTGCATCTTCAGCTTGTGCACAAGTCTCTTATGTGGTACTGTGTCAAAGGCTTTTTGGCATCCAAAAATATGCAGTCTGCCCACCCCCTCTCTTTATTCCCTAACTCTTGTTGCCTGGTCATAGAAGTCAATTAATCCTGTGAGGCATGATTTGTCTCTGAATCTATTGCCATGATTGTATGATGTGGTCTTGGTATAATGTTCCACACAAAGATAAATTTATATGACTAGAAAAAACACAACACAATGAGTCTATCGCCGTGACTGTACGATATTTTGTGTTTTAAGTCGAACATTAATGTTCTCTTGAGAATTAAAAATACCAGAAAATTTTCAGTTTTAATAAAAGCTTTTAAATCTACTTTGCACTCTTAGACTTTTAGGTTTAACACCTAAAAGCCTATAATGTGTCAGTATATGTGGCACTTTAAATATATATATATTTATCTGGTAATAACAGTAGTACTAAATGGTACATTACCCAACAAAGGAAAGCAACAGCTCAAATGGTTTCAGTAAACTCAGGTGCAAGGCAAGTTGCATCAGTTGTTAATTTTTTGTTTTAAAAATAGTTAATACAGCATTAAAAAAACACTCAAGTTTCTGAAACTTTAGTCTGTAGTTCTGTATGTTTCTTCATATTACCTAACACTCATTTTGCATATTAAAAATACACTGAAATTTTTCAGATTTTAAAGTTATAAAATCATGTCAGAAATTTACAATTGTACATTAAATACCAACCTGGCACCAAAAAAGGTGCACCGAGCAACAAATCTGTTATATTACAGCAAAAGCCAAAACTTACTGCATAACATGTCTAACCTTAGGGTATTTTCAGCACTTAATCTATTCCTTTAGAATTAGTACAGCACATGCCCAAGGCACAAATATCAGAACAGTTAAGATAATTATGATAAAAATGCCAACTAAGGTTTTATAAAAAAAATGTCAATCTCAAACATGTTATTCAGAAGCTGCTACAATGACAACTATATAATATAATGCTTTCGATGACAATTAAATTAAACAATTTGAAATTTAATGTGCAATCACTATGAAGATACCATCTTAAAAGTCACAGAAAACTGTCCCTAAAAGCAAAATGTTTTGTGGGCTTGCTACTTAATGCTCAAACTAACCCACCATCAGGTACTAGGAAATGTATGTGTACCTATAGCAAATTTCATGTAGATTGACTCTTTTTGTTCTCATAATGTGACACTCCTACTAAAGAAATTCCTATGTAGGAAAATATTAGGTCCTAAAGTGCCCCACTAGAGGCCTACACTGACCAAGAGAAAGCTGGATTGACTGTGTCCTAAGTGTGAAGTCAATCCCGGTGTTCAAGATATCTGGAAATGCAGCATCAGAAAATAAACAAAAACTAACACATCAAATTCATTAGATGAAGATACTTAAAAATAATATATAATTTTTATAATTGCCAATATATTAAATATTAAGAACCTAGGGAAAAACACTTACAGAAACAGTGTAAAAATTATTTAACAAAAACACATGTTTTGAATTAATGTTTGATATTTAGAACTGATAACTGTATATGTTTATAATGTATCAACCAAGAGAGAACACCTGCCTCATCTGGCACTTGTAGTTTATCACCGTTAAAAGTTATAAACATTACACTGGTATAAATAAATTACATAAATGTCTGGAAAGTAGGTTACTGTTCATTGTGTTAAAACTATACTAATTTTAGAATATAATATTTTACAAGACGACAATTCACAAAGAAAACTATAGCAATTTTCTTCTAAGCAGAAAAAAAGAGGTTATTGTAAATTTAACACGTAACTTGAGCATATCCAAAAAGTTGATTAACTTGTGCACTGAAGTCAATCATATTTTCTGCATGCTCCCAAAAGTGTAGCACTGATGCAGCTGACACCAGGTCACATTGCATCATGCACACAATACACATTATTTGGTGCACTCCTTTCCTGAGCTCATCATCAAGCCCCAACACTGGGAGATTTGACATGTAAAATGTGAGATCATATGCCATTTGTCTTGTTTAGGGAAATATAAGAAAGATTTGGTCAAGTATTGAAACCTTACTTTTGTGTTAGCCATTCAAAAGCATATAGTACAGATTAATATGATAGCAAATATATATTTATATTTACAAACAAGAAATGACATAGGGCTCAACTGGCAGCCACTTGTTTACAGTGCCTGTGCAATAATGTTCCTGAGCATGTTATTACATCTAATTATGTAATTGTACCAAGATGTTCCTGAGTTTGTGGTAACCATTAACTGCAGTAGTGATATGATATATTAAATTACCTAGATGATAAACCCCCAACATATTACTCCAAATTTTATATCTGGAATGCTGACTTAGACACAAGAAGTTTCAGTATTTTATTTGACAAAATCTAGTATTATATACAGTATATATTGATATAAAAAGTAACTTAATGCCCCTTAAATAGTTAATAGTAAGAACGATAGTAACAGATTAATAGAAAAAAATAAATAAAGATTCAAAATAATCATGTCATTCTAAGCTGAAATAAGAGCTAGAAGCAGCACTCCTACTAGCCTCATCTGGTAGCACCGGTGTCCTCTAAAAACAATGGTGAGAGTGGTAATTGTGCTACATTTTTGTCATTCTCAAGAACTGTTACTCGCTACTTTTTATAGGGTTATGTTATAACAATTCTAGCGATGTCGGACATTGGTAAAGACGGCGAAAAAGAAAGTGTCAAATTAAAAAGCTACATATCCACACACAAATGTTCTTTTAGGGCATAATTATGCATGTTGGGTGAGCACAGGTCGTGGCAACTTTTATGACAGCTGCACTTTAGGGTGTTAAGGAGGCAGTGCCACACAAACCAATTATTAGCCATGTGAAACCGTTTAATGATCTATTTACTTTACCTCACGAAGAGGTCACACATGCATAATCACCTCAAATGTAACAGATGACTGTACATACAGAATTTTGAAGATAATTATTATTTTAATCTCTGTACAATGTAGATAAGTGTAAAAAATTGTAAGCCTCATTATTCTCAGTTAAAACTGACGCTGTGGTATTGTTCTAACTGAAGTCCATTTACCTTTCACCCCCTACTATATAATCATACTAGCTTAGTAGTTTCTCTTTATAATTACCTTATATTCCCCAAAGTGCTTTTCTTTATACACGGTACAGTATATATAATCTACCCCAAAGTCGACCTCTCCTCTTGAATAATACATCATTTTGATATACAAATCTCCAATATCAAAATATGGTGTACTATAAATCATAGCAAGACTTATGTTTTGCATATGTGGGTCCTCTGTTAGATTAGCTCAGTCATTTTAGTACGTCATTTTTGTGACACCTCGAGTGGACGGGTTGCCAAAGTAACCGAGGGTAAAATCTTCCCTTCCCTTTCTCTTGACTAGGTCTCCTCATTGAGTGTGTGTCAAGCACCAACAGTCTAGAATGTTGGTGCTTGGCAGCCCAGTTTGAAGTAGGAATTTCAACCTGAATTATCAAACTCTTCTTAAGCAACATTTAACACTTTGGTTGTGAGTCACAGAATTCAGAATTGCTTTACTGTTTTGATATTACAACCCTGAAAACTAACTTTTGTCTCAATCAGCGTTGAGCCTTGTGTGAATGGGAACATGACAATTAACAACAAGATTCCCTATTTATGAAATGGACATTACGTCTCCCAACTGATGACATTTGACCTTAAAAATAGCTATCCCCAATTCGAGCATTTAAAGTATGCTTCTTGAAATTATTCACAATGCAGATGTTTAACTATGCAGTTTAAACATGTGTTTGCTGAAGAGGATATTGAATAGTCTGACAATGGATATAAGCAGTAAATATTTTCTGAATGACTTTAAATGGAGTTCTTACCGTAAAGTAGTATTTCAGGCTATAAAGTACAAGTGGTTTAAATCATACTTTCATTGACTTAGGCTTTATCTCTCACTTGGAACATAGACATTTGCTAGTCTTTTTTTTCTTCTTACTACAGTTAATTTATTGAGACAGTCGACATTACTTGTGGGCCCTTTACAGTTCCTCTTAGTTTTATGATATGGTCTGATTGTATGCTTTATATTACAATTATTTCCCCACAAAGTGGAGCTGAAAATGTTAACAGAATTTTGTGCACATCACTTGAAAAATGAAGTTGTCTCCGTCAGATATAAGGAAAATAAAGACAAATGAGGCTATGTACCATACCCTAGAACACAGTTGTCCGTGGAAGATGTTCAGCTGATAAATATATGTTGATTACTGTATTGCTCTTCAGTTTCAGACTGACAAGATGAAGATCCATCTTCCTAGTATTTTATTATTATTTTTTTTATTTTGCTTGTGTTACAACGTATAAAAGATCTAATGGCAATAGCAAAAATATGAGAATTTTTCTCTTACATTACTGTATGTTGTCCTGGATAGTGTAAACATTGCATTTCCAAATGTTTAGCATGCTCATGCCTTCACAATTTCGCTAACATTTTAATGATGTGTGATGTTGCTATCTAGTGGCCCTGATGAGAACAGGAAGCTGGAGGCTTGTCATAGGCCCCCCCCCACATTTGTCATAATTTTATAGAGCTGGATTTTGAATTGCAGCCGTGTTTTGGCAGTTGCATGGGTTTATAACCCTGTGGGTGAAAAAAGCATCTCCTGGTTTCACTCCTACATTGTGGCTTGCTGAACTTGAAACCATTGTTCCTTGTAATGTGTTACAGGTGACCTTTCAAGGTTCTCTGCATCAGTATCCTTCAAATTGTTCAGTATTTTAAAAGGTTTGATGAGATCAGCCCTGTCATGTCTGGTTTGCAGTGTTGTTAACTCTGTGGCTTTTATCTGTATACACACACTGTACAGTATATGGATATCTATTAAATTCTCCGAATACAGTATTACTATTCCTAATTATTTTTATAATGAAATAAATTGCAAATCTTTAAAAAATCATTTAATAAAAGCACAAAATCATGTTGTTTTTGTTTATAATGAAACTGCCATCATTATATTTCCTGCTTGGAGTCTGGACTCTTAGGACTCCAAGTCAGGGTATCGGGCAAGTGGTAGAGAGTATGGAAGGGCTGGAATGTATGGACTTAATGTTTAAAAGGCAAATAAATTTCTGTTGTTGACCAAACCACACACTGGAAAGTGAAGGGACGACGACGTTTCAGTCCGTCCTGGACCATTCTCAAGTCGATTGTGAAACATGACAATTAGCAACAAGATAAATTAAGTGTTTAGAGTATTTACATTTCAGATGATGGTGAGCAGTGGTTAAGAGTAGTTCAGTATACACTCCATCTTCAAAACAGAGAACTCAAATCAATTACATGCATTAGCCATTCCCTATTTGTGAAATGGACGTTACGTCTCCCAACTGATGACATTTGACCTCAAAAATAGCTTTTCCTAATTCGAACATTTAAAGTATGCTTCTTGAAATTATTCACAATGCAGATGTTTAACTATGCGGTTAATACATGTGTTTGCTGAAGAGGATATTGAATAGTTTTACAATGGATATAAGCAGTAAATATTTTCTGAATGACCTTAAATGGGGGTTCTTACTGTAAGGTAGTATTTCAGGCTATAAAGTCTTGAGAATGGAATGGAATTGCTCACAATTGACTAGAGAATGGTCCAGGATGGACCGAAACGTCGTCATCCCTTCACTTTCTAGTGTGTGGTTTGGTCAACATATTTCAGCCATGTTATTGTGACTCCTCGTCTGTAAATTTCTGTTGGTTACATTATGCAAAAATACCTGAAAATTTCTTGGATGTCAGAGAATACCTCTCAATGCATCCAGTAATGAGGCACTACTTAACAATATGCAATGTAATATTTGCAAATTATATTACTGTAGTTTATTGAAGGTTATGTATTCCAGGTTTAACAAATAAATAACAATGATCATTCTATATGCTCTTCACGAGATATATGCAGATATATTTTGCCCTTTTTTTGCCGTCTATCGGGGATAAAGTTGCCACTCCATGCATGTGTGTATTAGTAGTAGTAGTAGTGAAAGGGTTATAAGCGCCAATATATGTAGTATATAGATTCAAATCTAAATTCCATGACTAAATAAGGTTAACCATACTTCTCAATACTGCCTCGACTAGAAATGTTCACTTTAGAAACATTTCCGAGTAAAGCATATAAATACTATACAGTATAAATTATTAATATATTAACTAGAGTGAATAAGAAAACAAGCAATGAATATGAATAGCATTAAAGAAATATCAAACAATGCTACATGGGTTGATGTTTCTAAAGTAGGAATATATGTCTTATGTGTTTATGAGAACTTATGAGGAGCAATGAGTTATGAAGAACTAGAGTACTTTCAGTGGTGGAGCTGGTTCTCGGTAACGCTCGATAGTGTCCGAGATGTGGAAAATGTTTTAAATACTGTACTGTATCTTTAAACCCTCTTTTAAATACTGTACTGTATCTTTAAACCCTCTTTTCCAACATGAAGTGTTTGTATCTGTTCCGTCAGTGGCTTCCCCACCCAATGAAAATGGGAAATGGTGTACAGTTTTATATACGAAGTTATAATTTTTGTTGTGACTCCAATTATTAACAAATAAGTAATGGATATAATAAATATTTATCATGATGTATAAAATACAGAATGAAGCACTTGTCTTTTGCTAGTGGTAAACGTACCTGTCTATATTATCAAAATATACGATAAAGTAGCAGCAAAAGTAGCGAGTAGCAGAAAGGGAGCTACATTTACAAACCAGCAAAGAGCAACTGGTGTAACGTGGAGGATAGCTCCCTCACAATGTACAATGAAAATAAATATCATGCAAGTTTCTACAGTGACAACCCCAAGACCAATGCCAACTGTAACCATCACAGAAATACCGTATGTGTACAACACTCAGCTGCTCTCCCTTGGCTTCTTTCACATCTATAACACATATAACATAGCTTGAACCTTTTCAAAATTACCATAGCATACCCCACACAAAGGCTCATTTAAATGAGCTTAAAACAGAAAATTCTGAATATTGTTAACTTCTATAAAAAATATAAAACTTTCATTAATTTCAAGTGTATTATTTTCAAATCTAATGTCACAGTGAAGACAGATGCAAATATGACTAAGATCAATATTATTCACCAATCGACTCATTTTTTCACTCAAAAATGTCTAGAAACTCTTGTGCAATACTTTTCATGTTTCACCTCACGTGGTGAGGTGAAACATGACATGTTGTCATGTTTCACCTCATGACATGAGGTGAAACATGACAAAACATGTTTCAAGTTTCACCTCACTCATCTTTGAGACACCAGTGCTGTGAGCTCATTATTTATGTACAGTTCTTGACTGCATAAAAGTCACGTCATACACAAGTTTAATCACTAAGCCCACAAAATGCTTCACTTATTTATAGAATTATCTTCATCTTCTGTGTTTGGGTCACAAGGTTCTGATAACTTTGCCAAATGAGGAATTGGAAATGACGTACCTCCCATAATCTTCACCATCCGTTCAATTATGTCTCTTCTTTCTGCATCAAGTCCCTCCTGAAAATATATATATTTTTATGTGATTACTTGTATAGTTTTTTTATAAATAATAAGATAACTAGATATTTTGTGTAGGCAAAATACTACCAGAGAACTACAGGAGTGCAGACAGAGCCAAGCATATTTGAACAGGTGTGTTTGAACACAATTACTTTCTTCAACGTTGACGTATGACATGACATCAGAGGCCAGCTCCTCTACTTGGCAATATGAAGGCAGCTCATACAGGAAGCCCACAACACCTTCAGAAGACAAACGCCAAAAAGGAAACCAACGAAGTAGATACCTGAACAGAGAGCAAAGAAGCCAAGCAGAGGATATAATCCATGCTAGCTCATCAGAACCTCTGCCTCATAGCAATATGGAAACAGAAATGTCTGGATTCAAGAATGGGAAAGGGAAGGCTGTAACAAAAGTAAGAAAAACAAATATAGCCATAAGCTGCCAATGGGTTACCCGGAGGTAAGCATGATGAACCACATCCGAACACACAGGTCAAACAGCAAGTGTAGGCTTCTGTACCCTGTGCACCAGTGTCAAGGTGTAGTAATTGTAATGGTAGTTGCAGGATGAAAGAACAACTGAGGTTATCTTGAGATGATTTCGGGGCTTTAGTGTCCCCGCGGCCCGGTCCTCGACCAGGCCTCCACCCCCAGGAAGCAGCCCGTGACAGCTGACTAACACCCAGGTACCTATTTTACTGCTAGGTAACAGGGGCATAGGGTGAAAGAAACTCTGCCCATTGTTTCTCGCCGGCGCCCGGGATCGAACCCAGGACCACAGGATCACAAGTCCATCGTGCTGTCCGCTCGGCCGACCGGCTCCACCGGTCTGGTGGTACACTATCAAACAACAACTAAATGAACAATGAAAATCATTTGGTTTTACCTGGAGCATAACTGCAGAAGGTTCTGGGAGTTGTTCTACTTCCGAGCCTAGCCTGAGACCAGTTTTACTAAGATGTCATTGCACAAATGCCCATTTCATAAAAAAAACTTTGAGGTTAGTAACCATATATAGTAAATAGTTGGTCAGTTGATGACATGGTGTGAGTAAAAGACATGCTAGTTACCAGTATCAACAGCATTGTCAAAGTTGTTTGTTCCCATCATCTAAATGCAGTGTTAGTTGCTGCTGGATGCAATAGGCCCAATCAGAGAACACTGTATAAACATCAGAGGTCCGAGGTTGTTCAACATCCTCCCAGCGAGTATAAGAAATATTGCCGGAACAACCGTGGGCATCTTCAGGAGAAAACTAAATAATTTTCTCCAAGGAGTGCTGGACCAATCGGGCCAGACCAACCGGATATGTAAGCCTGCAGGCCGCTCCAAGCAACAGCCTAGTGGACCAAGCTCTCAAGTGAAGCCTGGCCTCGGGCCAGGTTTTGTGAGTAGAAGAACTCCCAGAACCCCATCAAGCAGGTATCAAGCAGAGTCATTAACTAAATGGCTAAATCAACTAAAACAAGCAGAGCCACTAAACACATCAGTCACAATGCAGCTTTAAAAATAGTTTTGTATTAGAGAGAAATAAAACTACAATGTACAGTCATACTTACAACAACTAAATCCAATGGTTTTTCTATTTTATTTTCATAGTGCACAGCTGTTAATTGAGATTCAACTCCAGTTCGACAGGAAGTCTTTGAACACTAGAAAAGAAAAAAGGTTCTTCATGTCAATTTACTCTAAAGGATTGTAACAATTTTAAGACACTTCAATTCCAACCCTTTACTCTCCAGGGTTAATGTGTATATATATGAATGTTTGTATGTACAGTATATGTATGTGTAATTGTAAATACATAAAACAAACCTAGCTATATGCAGCCTATTTAGTGCTTTAAATTTCTTGATGTTTTATTGCTGGGTCAAATTTTGTTTGTATTTGAGTGCCATTTCCCTGTTTAACCTTCCAGCACAGTATATTTAAAATGAATTACGTATTTACATATTACATGGTTGCATCTATACTGTATATGCACAAAGGCGTGCTCATTTACAAAAAGGAAAATGTATTTAAATGATGACTTTTCTGTGGAGAACCCCTTCGGCTCCCCGGAGTTGTACCGGGCTGATGTGTATATATTAGTCCGTGGCAACAGTCAATCGACGGAGTTCTAGGCAGACTGGGACCAGCGCCAGAACCTGGCCCCTTCAGAGAGGTAACGAGGAGCAATGTCCTATAGACACCCTTGTGTAATTGGAAACAGTCTTAGGATGGATGGAGGGAGGAAGGGAGGGACGGATGGATGGATGGAAGGCGGAAGGGAGGGATGGATGGATGGATGGATGGATGGATGGATGGATGGATGGATGGATGGATGGATGGATGGATGGATGGATGGATGGATGGAGGGAGGGGAGGGAGGGGAGGGGGGAGGGAGGGATGGATGGATGGGGGATAGAGGGAGGGAGGGAGGGATGGATGGATGGGGGATAGAGGGAGGGAGGGAGGGATGGATGGGAGGGAGGAATGGAGGGAGGGATGGAGGGGATGAGTGTTGAGTTGAGGTGAAGCAGAGAGTATGGGATGTATGGGGGGCGGGTGGGGGAGGGGTGTCGGTGATGGGGAAGGGACTAGCTCACTGATAAGCCTAACTTACTTGACCCAGTTAAAAAGATTTGTTTCTTAAATTTTGGATGTACATCATCATATATATTTTTGGTTACAGATTTTGTTTAGTAATATTATTAGGATAATAAAAAGTTACGAAATACTAGAGGTAGACGGCCTGCTTGCCAAGTGAGGACCCCCTAATGTCAAAACATAGAATGCTTCCTACCACACTGAGGTTTCTATAGGCCATTGCTCCCCTTGCCTCTCTAAGGGGGGCCAGGTTCTGGCCGTGGTCCCCGGTAGGCCCTAAGAACTCCATACACATGACTGATGCCAAAGTCTGACATTAACATATCAGCCTGGTATAGCTTCGGGAAGCCGACGTCCCCCCCCCCCAGAAAAAAAAACCTTTTACATGTAACTACATTAATCTTGAAGTTTGGTTTCGGGGCTTAGCGTCCCCGCTGCCCAGTCCTCGACCAGGCCTCCTTTTTCTTGCAACCCCCACCCCCCCAGGAAGCAACCCGTAGCAGCTGTCTAAGTCTCGGGGTACCTATTTACTGCTTGGTAACAGGGGTATCAGAGTGAAAGAAAATCTGCCCACTTGTTTCCGCCTCCACCGGGGATCGAACCCAAAACCTTAGGACTATGAATCTGAAGTGCTGTCCACTCATCCGTCAGGCCCCGGTACTGTATTTAAGGTTCTAACATGTGAATGCTGTGTCAAGGTCAATCACTTGAAAAGAAATATAACAAATACATACCTCACAGTAGCTCTCTGGTACGGACACCTGTTTCCGCTTAATACCGGGCGTGGTAAATCTGTCTCTCGTCTTATCTTTAAAAGCATCTCTTAAAAGATTTTGACAGCAATGGATCTGATACTCAGTCTTTCTTATTTTTCTGAAATGCCAAAATTATTATATTTAGTATCCCTACAAAATTCTTGTCACGAGAACCTATATAATTATTAATTATTATAAATAACACGTTAATAGAACTGTGTGGTTTTAATATGATTTATGAAGCAATTTAGGTCCATACTTTAATTACATACAGAACTATATTATGAAATATTGTATATTTTTTTAATATTGCATTCATCAAATCCCACTTAAGGAAACACCTGATATCTTTGTCTATTTACTTTATTATATTACATATATATATGCTTTATGTGAATCATGATACAGTCATATCATAACTGAAAACCAATCCCAATTTGTTTGTTTGACACCAATTTAAAGAGACTTTTGCCATTCTAACAATGGCCCTGAAAAGACTTATCAAACAGTATTACAATACAAGACTCACTATAATAAGCAACATCATTAACTTACCCATCATATAACTGCAACTGTAGGCTCATTTCTTTCCCATATTTGCTGTGAATGTCACATGAATTCCAGCATGAAAATACAAGGGAAAACTCAACGTTCCCCTCCTTGTCAAGGTGTTCCTGTAAAATGCTGATTACAGCAATCGGCTTTCCTTTAGGGTCCAACTGATATTTGTGGAACTTGCTTATTACACAAAAGCTCTGGTTATACTCGTGATCTTTGCACCAACTGCACTCGTCATGCTTCTTGCACCTCTTAACAGGTTCATCTCCATATATGTGGCCTTGGTAAGACATTGAAATATATACTTTCATTCCTGGTTTCCCTCTAAGTATCTTGAAATGCACAGGTTTACTTCGTTTTGTGGCCAAGATGTTGTTTTTTACCTGAGATAAAGAAGTCTTATTAGTATGTGCACTTTGCTGTTGAAAAATTGAAGTAAATAACACCTTTCTCCATGTGCAGTAGATATAATACAATACTCCTTCCACATTTGAAGAAAAAATGCACCTCTGGATACTGGATCGCATACTCTTCATGCAGAAATGGAGTGATATAATTATATTTCATAAATTAAAAGTCATATACAGTACAGTATGTACATTACATCAATTTACAAAAGAAGAATGCTATTTCCATTCCTTCTGAAGAGATTCATGTGTAAGCCTAATGAAATTTGTTCAAGCAACCATGAATCTTAAATGCCAACCTCCCCCTCTCAAATAACCCCAGGGACACTGGAAAAGCAAAGACCCCAGCCTCCAGTAAATTTCCTGCAAGCCCCTAAGCAAAAGAAGGCCATAGTATATCAAAACCCACAACTACAGGAAAGGGGACGGAGGGCAGATGCCGAGCAGATGCAAAAGTTGAAGAGCCCAAAAGTCACTCAGTTTTTTACATTTTGATTTGCAAGTTAACACTTTTGCACTCTTGAAACGCCCCTGGCGTCCACAATTTTTCTCGAGTCCGAGTCGGTGACGCGAGCGGCGTCCACATTTTAAAATATTTGTTAAAAATTTAAATTTTATCCGATTAATCTGGAAGTGGTTTTAAAATGAGCGCCTTTAGAGTGTGCACAATTTAATACCCAAATGAAATATGTAACACGAAAAGTTATATCAGAACACTGGAAAGATTATAAATGCGTTTTTGATACAAATTTTAAAATATTTGTTAAAATTCCATTTACTGCTGTATTATTATGGGACTAGTTTTAAAATACGCGCCTTTATATTGCGAACAATTTGATACCAAAATGAAAGACGTAACACAAAAATTGATGTTATCAAACTGAACGTGTATACACATTAGGTTTGCGGGTGTGTCAGTTGGTGCTCGCTCACAGGTAACTTTAGGCTTTGCTAAGGGGAGTCACGCCGGGCTTTTGGACAATATATGCATATACACCTGCAGGGAATTTAATTGCAAACACAATGATACCAAAATGAACGAAGTAGCATGAGAATTAAGGTGAGAAAACTGAAACGCGTATACACATTTTACTGGTTTCGTGTGCTCACTGGTAACTTTTGCAGACTTTAGGCTTTGCTGTGGGGAGTCACGCCGGGCTTTTGGACCTTATATGCATATGCACCTGCAGGGAATTTAATTGCAAACACAATGATACCAAAATGAACAACGTAGCACGAGAATTAAGGTGAGAAAACTGAAACGAGTATACACATTCCGGTGTCGCCGCGCACTCGCCGCACCACCTGGGGCATGATGTCAAAGTATGCGGCGCACACACCCGAGGCGCAAAAGTGTTAACTGGACCAGCAGAGCCAAATTCACCCCCCTCCCCCAAACCCCTCTAGAAAGAGGGAAGCTGGCAATGCTTCTACAAAAGCATTGTATACAATGCATAACTTTGCCACTCTATTATCGCTCTATAGCAAACATGTATGGAAGGAAAATACTGGCCTTAACTATTTCAGGCTACCCCACAAACAGTACCAGTAGACAGAGGCTTAGGAGATGGGTTACGTTTTCTAAACTATCCTTAGCTTAACTCTGATATGAAAATACATGACAAGCCTGTAAACTAAGCAAAAACAACCAAAGCAAACAAGTACATATACATGTATACTTCTTAACTGATGATCTACCACACATCTCTGATCGGCTCAAATATTTTATTTACTGTACTATATATGAAAAAAGAAGACCGAGTAAGTTTGAAGAAATGAGGAAGAAACAAGGTGATCATGCACATTATGCATATTTAAAGACTTTTTGAGTATCTACCTACCTTGGAACAATATTTTATCCATACTAATTACATTATAGTCATCCACTGTGCCTATTTGAATGCATATCAACATCCATCCAAAATATTTGCAAACCCTGTCGGCCGAGCGGACAGCACACTGGATTTGTGATCCTGTGGTCCTGGGTTCGATCCCAGGCGCCGGCAAGAAACAATGGGCAGAGTTTCTTTCACCCTATGCCCCTGTTACCTAGCAGTAAAATAGGTACCTGGGTGTTAGTCAGCTGTCACGGGCTGCTTCCTGGGGGTGGAGGCCTGGTCGAGGACCGGGCCACGGGGACACTAAAAAGCCCCAAAATCATCTCAAGGTAACCTCAAGATATATCCATATCAGCCATGGATAGCTCCAGGGAGCCGTAGGGGCTCCCCCCAGAAAAGGCTTTCGACAGAGTTCCACATAAGAGGTTGTTCTGGAAACTGGAGCATATTGGAGGGGTGATATTTAAGCTAACATGGAAGAAAAATTTCCTAACTGACAGAAAAATGAGGGCCGTAATCAGAGGCAATGTATTCGACCTGAGAAATGTCACGAGTGGAGTACCACAGGGTTCAGTTCGTGCACCAGTAATGTTTATTTGTAGTAATGTCTACAGTAGTAATGTCTACATAAATGATCTACCAGTTGGAACACAGAATTATATGAACACTTTGCTGATGATGCTAAGATAATAGGGAAGATAAGAAGCCTAGATGATTGTCATGCCCTTCAAGAAGACCTGGACTAAATAAGTATATGGAGCAACACTTGGCAAATGCAATTTAATGTGAATAAATGCGATGTTATGGAATATGGAATTGGAGAACATAGACCCCATACAACCTATAAATTATGTGAAAAATCTTTAAAGAATTCTGACAAATAAAGGGATCTATGGGTGGTTCTAGATAGAAAACTGTCACCTGAGGACCACATTAAGAACATTGTGCGAGGAGCCTATGCTACACTTTCTAACTTCAGAATTGCTTTTAAATACATGGATGGAGAAATACTAAAGAAAATGTTCATGACTTTTATTAGACCAAAGCTGGAATATGCAGCGGTTGTATCGTGCCCATATCTTAAGAAGCACATCAACAAACTGGAAAAGGTACAACGACATGCCACTAAGTGGCTCCCAGAACTGAAGGACAAGAGCTACAAGGAGAGGTTGGAGGCATTAAATATTAAAAAACTAGAAGATAGAAGAAAAAGAGGCGATATGATCACTACGTACAAAATAATAAAAGGAATCGATAAAATCGATAGGGAAGAATTCCCGAGACCCGGAATTTCAAGAACAAGAGGTCATAGATTTAAACTAATGAAACAAAGCTGCTGGAGGAATATAAGAAAATTCACTTTTGCAAACAGAGTGGTAGACGGCTGGAACAAGTTAGGCGAGAAGGTGGTGGAGGTCAAAACCGCCAGTAGTTTCAAAGCGTTATATGACAAAGAGTGCTGGGTAAACGGGACACCATGAGCGTAGCTCTCATCCTGTAACTACACTTAGGTAATTACACAAATATGAAATTTTAGAACAAAACTTATAAAATAATATTTAAACAGCATACCTTATAATCTGGGTTTTTTGGCTTCGATCTGACAATAATTACTTCTGGAGGTGCAAGTGAAGTAAGTGAAGGGCACTTCTCTTCAGGTGGCACAGGTGACCCCAACCTCTCAACATTTTCTGGAGCTGTCAACAGTTCAGCTCCCTGCAGAAAACAAAACAAAATCAAATAATTAAATAATCTCAATATATATACAGTATATACAGTAGCACTTCTCTTTCATCCAAAATGAGAAGTGAGTATGTGAGTATGGACCTTTTTATGTAAGGATTTTAGGGTGACATTGGATATCCTTCCTTGCCTCCACCACTATTCCCAAGTAAAGCATCTCCCTTACTTCATAAATTCTTAAATATTTATACACTGTCAAATCATTCACTGAAGAGCTATCAATGGCAGAAATGTATATAGGGGATACAAAGTCTACAAAGTGCAGTAAACAAATATAAAAACAGATAAACATAGAATGTTTGGGTCACTAGACAAACTGGATATGCAATGTTCCTATGGCTTTTCTTTATCCACTTTCTTTATCCACTCATCGACTATGCTGCTCCTGCTCTTACATCCCTCAGTGATAACCAATGGGAGAAACTGGAAGTGTCTCAAAATGATGCTCTGAGAACAATGCTGGGAGCACCTATATGGACGCGTAGAGAGAACCTTAGAATGGAAACAAATTTACCAGCATTAGAAAACACGATGAAACAAAGGATAGCCACCATAATAGGAAAACTTACTGGAACAACTGCCAGGCTGTCAATCAAAGACAGCATAAAGAGATGCTTTCAGAAAAACCTACAGTATAGAACAAGCTCATGGATGGATAATGTGGTCAAGATTTTAGAGAAAATGGACATGAAATGGACCATTAAAAACAAAGGGGAAGATAAGACCATATCAACACTTTGGTGGTAATCTACTTCCTTGTTGCATTCTGTGCACATCTTCACTAAAGGCATTCTGACCATAACGCTTCTGGTCAGTGGTGGTGGTGGTAGGCAGTGGGTGGTTGTTGACCAGTGGTAAAGGGGGGGTGGGGGAGCGACCTTTCATAGCCTACCGAATGTGTACACAAGCCTCGTGGCCCCTATACACAGTCTGGTGTGTTTGTTGTCTCACTATTCACTGAATTATGCGTTCCAAATTTTCCATGTGACAGTTTACCTACACTTTCAAGCCTTTATGCCTGTTTTGTTACCGTTCACTATTCACCGTATCACTGTTAACTATAGTGTAAGTATCACACTATCACTGTTACCGTTCACTATTCACCGTATCACTGTTCACTAAAGTCTAAGTATACCGAGGTAAGTATATGTAGACAAGGGCCTGGTGTAGGGCCTCGTGTAGGCACTACGTTCCCATGTCATGATGTGTGACACATCATACACGTCGTGACGTGTATTGGCACGTTCCGACACCAGTCATGGATAATTTGGTGTCTATCCCTCCCCGGGATAGGGGAGGGGTAGACACCAAATCCAATTTGTATGAGGAGGGAGCGAAAGAGAACCCCACTCCCTGCAACACCAGGCCCCACTCCGAGGATACAAAAACCCAGGCGGGCTCAACGGGGTCCAAGGCCCCAAGTCAACCCCTCCCCCGCCCCGGAAACCTCACCCCGAGGACTGAGGAGACTGAGCCAGCCTCCAAACCCCTCACCTCTAAAGAAAAGGCAGGAGCTGCCGAAAAAGCAGGAACAAAGGGGGCCCACTGGTCAGATTCAGAAGCTTCAGCTGGAGGACCAGGCTCAAATGCCTCCGCCGCCACCCCGGAAGCAAGGAGAAAGGAACCGAATGCACAACAGAAGGGGAAGAACAAGGAGAGGCGGACGGAACCAAAGTCATAGAAATTCCCACCCCCAAGTTCAGGTCCCTAAAACCAGAATAGGGCAGTCTTGGGGCATCCGGGGAAGCAACCACCCTATCGCTTTGCAGCAATCTGAACCTAGCATGCAACGTATCTGCTGCCTGCACCCCTCATATTATGATCAGTAGCTTGGGTGAACTGGAGCATGTACAAACAACAAATGTCGCACAACTCCGGGTCAAAAGAATCACCAACCCTACAGGCAGCATGGCAGAGGCACAACCGGTGATTGTCTCTTTGAGACAAGGGGACAGAGCAACCGTCAACCTCATACAAAGCGAGAGGGAACTCAAGGGTTGCATCCATTGGACCACGGAGCCTCCGCTGGGTTTCCCAGGGCCCTTAGCCTTGGTATCACGCTAAGGAAAGCCCAGGCAAGGTACTGTGAACCGGCATCCCAAAGACTACCAAACAAAATTCTGAAAACTGATCCCCCGGGATGTGTCCACTCATAGCGACCTAGCAGGGGGTACCACCAACAACAGAGATACAGATATATACAGTATATATATATATACCCAAAGTACAGATAGGGGCAACCAACCAAAGGCAGACCTCTCCACCAGGCAAGAAAACAAAAACAAAAAAGATACTAGCTGTGCAGTACCCCGTGCCCCTACCAGTGACGAAAACTACCTCCTACCCAGAGGCAAACGAGGGCAATCAAAACCGCAACCGACTCCAAGGGCGGCTAAGTACCGAGCAGTAAAAGACACAGCAGAGGTAGATCCAAGGTGACTTGTGGAAGGTGGCCCTAAGCCCCAAGGTTCGTACTTACTTGGCACCCAGGGAAGGAAACCCTAGGCACATGCAGCATGAGTAACGTAGAATATTACTCCTGGCTTACACACCACCTGTAGAGACAGACCACGCCAGAGGGCACAGAAACCAAAACAAAAGCAGGAGTCAGGGGCACAAAACCACGCCAGTATCACATCAGCCAAGAACTGACAGTTGGATCGCCGGCGTGAGGGTCTGAGGCTCTCCCTTCCCCCTCCCGGGGAGGAGAGGGGGTTGTGCAGACAGCGGCACGGCAACGTGATGACGTTATGCTCGTTTGCTAATTTTTGTTGTGTTCTGTTCACTCATTCGGCTTTCGGTAACAATATTTCCACCAGAATAGGTTTTTTGGGGGGGAGCCCACCTTTCTGGGTGCTAGACCTGGTCGATGGCAGACAGAATGCACCCAACCACACAGGGGTTTCTATAGGCCATTGCTCGTCATCCCTCTCTTGAGAGGGGAAACTAGGTTCTGGCTCGTGGTCCCCGGTAGGCAAGAACTCCATGCACATTGACTGATGCCAGAAAGGTAAGATATCCATATCAGCCTGGATAGCTCTGGGAAGCCGACGGGGCTCCCCCCAGAGATAGAACATTGCGTGTAATGAAATACTTTCTTCCGTCCAGCCCCTGTAGAGCTGCACGAACCTTCATAATGAGGTAATGAGGTAATTCTTTCATAATGAGGTAATTCTGGACCCGAGGTAATTCCTCAGCTTACAGTCTGATAATTACCTGACAAACTAGTTCGGTTTGGTACTTCTGAGATACTCAACCAATCGAGACAAGGACCCTTGCAAGTCCTCAGTACCACCTCTTTGAGGCATGGAAGGACATAGATATGAGAGAACTCCAACATTTAGGTGAACTACTCACAAAAGCATCAAAAGGAGCACACAATACACTTAAATCTTCCCCAAGAAATATTTTGACAAGTGCTGACCCATCAAAACAGAGCTCTGACAACTAGCTAACATTCATGTGAATGTGAATCAACATTGTCATCCACAGCAGGTGAGAGCCCTGCTTGCAAGAGAAGTTCACCTCACTCCTGATCCCAAGCCAAAGCAACCTCTGTTGGGAAAGAGGAAGAGACAGGGCAGGAATGGGGAACTACCGAGGCTGTGTTCAGATAGAGGGTATCAGTACTCAATGTTCTATTTTTGGGCAGACCCTTTAGTAGCTCTACTTAACTACTTCTAAACTACTTCTTTACACCCCACCTGTAAAGTTCCAGCACACAACTAGAACAAGCAAACAGGCAAAAATTACAACAAACAAAATGGATACGACTTACCAGCAGCAGAGATATCCTTGATGATATGACATGGGTGGAGTAGGCAAGCCAGCCTCGAAAGATTAATACACCCACCCACCCTCACAAACATTCAAATGATTGATGAATGTTCAAATGACCGATGAATGAATGAGTGATAAGGCTTGTCATTATTGTTTAGCCTGTGATGCAATTATCATCTTGAGCATGATCCAGCAGTCAACCACCCTGTTGTTGACCAAGGGAGATGACATGGTTTGAAGGATAAAACATAAGACTCCAGATTATAGTATATATGATCATTAGAAGAGGTTGCCCAAAATTGTACTAAATCCATGTGAACATGACCTTTGCTATATTAAACATATTACACACTTTTACACTGTACTGGTGAAACTCCGTTAAAAATGGGTGATATAACTCCTTGGTTTGATATTTATATCTCTGCAGGCATTGTATCAACAGTTTGTAATGTCATTATACAAATCTACATCTCATCTCTCAATTCATAATATGGGTTTTCCAATAATGTAATGTTTATATTTTTTATTACACTAAGTGGCTAGATACAAATAATTTTACCTAACTTGCCCCTCTGCAATATATACATTACTGTACTTAACAAAAAAAAAATAATGACTCGAATGAGGTCACTCTTAACCCTTAAACTGCGCAACGCGCCTGCAGGCTCACGTCTGGTTTGCGCAACGCGCCTCCGGGTATTTGTATTTTTCACGTTCCATTCAAAACTCCCGCGGCTACATGGGGTTCACATCAGCTTCCTCAGGGCTCTTGTAAACAGACGCCATCTTTAAAAAAAATCGTGGTCCACATTCCCGGGTGTAGGAGCCTCAGTAGTGTGTGAGCAACCAAGGCTGGCGCTCGCAGCATGAGCGCACAGCACTGCTGTTCAGCATGTGACCACAGCATCGCCAAATAATGTCAAAATATATATATAACTTGTATTATTTAGCTATGATAGTGTTATATTAGAGCCCGAGTGTGATAATGACTGGGTACAATGTTCAAATATCAGTGATTCAATGCTGTTCACGATGTTCACAGCTCTAGCCACAGCACCACAGCATTATTTCGTTCATCTAGGAATCTTCAAATGATTTCTTAGGTTCCTTTTCAAAATAAACGTGTGGTCAATTATTCATTTACAGGAATTAGAGACCAGGATTGTGATAATAGCAGGATTGTGGCTATAATTAGCGTTGTGCGTAGTATTGTGGAAGGAGGAATTTTGATGAGGGAGGGAGGGCGAGAATTGAGGTAGCCTCATCGTGTGTGTGGCTGCCACTCTTGTTTTGCTCACCATACTAGCTTAGTGGTTCGCTATGGGCAACACATATGTACATGGGTATATATAGTGTGTGTATATAGAGTAAGAACAGCAACCGGAGAATGTTGAGAGGAGCTATTTTGGTGAGGGAGGTGACGTAATCGTAGCGTCGTCTGCTGTGTGATTTTTCATGCAGTGTATGGTGGCCACTGTACTGTTTGGACACAATACCGGCTTACTTGCATAGTTCTGGTAAATAAAACATGTAGATAGGTATATAGAACATGTGTAATAAGAGCTATAACAATATGGTGGGAGGAGCAATGTTGGCGAGTAAGATGTTGGAGTGAGGGAGACTGGCTGGGTGTGGCTGCTCTCACTCGAGGTGTTCTGAATGTGTTCATGGCCAAATGCTGCTATTGGCCCATATGAGGCAGCTGCTATTGGCCCATACGGGGCAGCTGCTATTGGCCCATATGGGACAGCTGCTATTGGCCCATACGAGGCAGCTGATATTGGCCCATACGAGGCAGATGATATTGGCCCATACGAGGTAGCTGCTATTGGCCCATACGAGGCAGCTGATATTGGCCCATACGAGGCAACTGATATTGGCCCATACGAGGCAACTGATATTGGCCCATACGAGGCAGCTGATATTGGCCCATACGAGGCAGCTGATATTGGCCCATACGAGGCAGCTGATATTGGCCCATACGAGGCAACTGCTATTGGCCCATACGAGGCAGCTGCTCTTGGCCCATACGGGGAAGCTGCTATTGGCCCATACGAGGCAGCAGATATTGGCCCATACGAGGCAGCTGCTATTGGCTCATACGAAGCAGCTGCTACGCGGTGTTCTGAATGTGTTGATGGTGAATGTATATAGTGTGTGACAGTGTATAGTGTGTAAATAGATTGTATATATACACAAATTAGCATGGTACATAGTAAATATGTGCTGCATATGTGTACACAAGTTTCATGCACGTAACACAGTGTCTACGGACAGTACGGATGTTGTACTGCGATATTATAGTGTACGTGTTCATTATACATTGGATTGGCACATAAAAACGATGAAATTGTATTTGGAAAGGTGCGGAGAAAATGAACGAAAATATATTCGCGGCAACTCGTACGCCCCGCCCCGAGCGCCCCACCGCCCCCGAGAGCTTACGGCACGGGCGCACGGGGAATGATGACGTCACGCCCCAACTTCCGGACCCCATAGCAGCCAAAGTAAGTACAATCTCGACTTTTTTTTTACATACCCATACTGAGGGAAGGGTTTTTGACACTTTAAAAAGAAAAAAGAATTTTTTCCAGAGAATTTATTTCCTGCGCACTGCGGGGGTGTCACATTTGGAGGCAACGCAGTTAAGGGGTTAATAGAAGTAAAATATTGCATCTCAAATATTTCCTCATCCTTTGTAAATACTAGGCCTAATATTGATGAGTCTTCACCACCTCTCACTCTCATTGCTTGTTTTGCCATACTTAAGCATAAATGTTTCCTGGATCAAATTACAAAAAAAAAAAAAGCAGATCTGTTCGCTATATACTTCTCTAACGGGTTTTCAATTAAAATGTCCCAAGTCATATGGCTCTGTTTTGGCTTGCCTTTTTAATTGTCTTTTCAGAACTGATATAAGCCCTTCTTGTTTGACATCAAGCTGCTCTTCTCTCCAATTGTTGTTTACTGTAGGAGCACTGAATATGTAATAACGAGAAGCTTTCCCCCTTTGCAAAAATAATTGAACTACAAGTATTACAAAATCTACATTGTGTGTTTTTTGCGGTGTCATCTTTGTTCTGTCATGTGGTTCTTCACCCATACTGCCACATCCCCTCACTTTTACTCTTCTTGTTTTTACTCCTGATAGTATAGCTCTCTGCAAACACCACCTCATTTATAATACCTTTATCAAACTTGGCTTCAGTTAAAGCCGTAACATGTGGTTTAGTTTTATGCATCCCATCTTTTAATTCTAGGAGCTTATTCCACCAATATTTGTATAAAATATTTTAAAATGTTTATCCTTATTTCTGGAGGAGCCTCTGGTGGCTCCCTGAAACTAATCTCTCTGAGTTGGCTTTCACTACCGAGTTACATTAGCCATAGGAATCCTATATGGCCTACCAGAGCCAGAACCATTCCCCGTCCCCCTCACAGAGGCACGGAGCAAGAGATTGTTATGATCACCCTCAACAAAGCCATACAAAACTTCTATGGTTGATGTGACTCGGTAGTGGGAAGCCATCTCACTGAACAACCAAGGCCTTACCAGAAAGAGGCGCCTAATTACATTTAATGCAGGATTTTTTTTTTTTTTACTACATTCAGACTTAACACTTGCTCCTACTGGTTTATAATCGTTCTCTTTCTATACCACTTCATTGGCTTCCTCAGCTCCTTTGTAATACAAACAAAATTATTTTTCTGGTCTTCATCTGTGTTACAGTTTAGTGCTTTAAACTTCCCTAGTTGTTTTCAATATCATATTGTCTTCTTTGAAAAAGTTCTTCTTATCACTAACATTTCAGTCCTTGTCCTGCTAGAACTCCTAAGTTTTCGCAAGAACTTTTTCTACTTGCTTCATACTGTTTAAGTTACTGTATTTTTAAAGGTTGGCATTTCTATTTTCAAATTTGTCCTAATTCACCTGAAGTTAGTTATATTATTCCTGCTAAATAGCCTCTCACTATGCCTTCAAACTCACCTGCTTATTGCCTGCCGCATCCTGTGTTTTGTTTGCTGCTTCCTGTTTTTTATTCAACTGTTTCATTACTGCTCGCAAACATGCTAGTGTTGACTGTTCATTGCAGAAACCCTCAAAGTCTGCTTCTTTTTGGGGTTTCTCTAGCTCTGCATCCTCCTTCAACTTGCACACATCCTCAATCGATTCCCACTTTTGAGACACTGACTCATCCATGGATTGAGCAGGCTGTTCCATCTGTAAACAAAGATGGACGCCACCCAGTCAGTGGGCCCAACAGTAACAACCCCAAATGTTTTTCTTCAAACAAAGACCGTGTATACAGGTAATGGAACACCACTAGGTAGTTGGGAGTTGTGTTGTGCATTTGCACTTATATTTTCACTTTATATGGCCAGGAGTCAGCAGATTAAAGGCAAAGCAAATAAAAATAAATCCAGGTCACCACTCATCCTTCCAACTACTGTATAGGCATACATTCCCTTTATCATCATGTATTGCTGCTGAGAACCGAAAATTGATCAAAAACAGGAACCAGGCTGCTGCAGAAAGGGGGTTTAACCATAAACTTCGATGCAGGATTATAGCCCTGATAAGTGGGTTATGTGGGTATGACATCTATAAATGAGGTGTCCGTGCTTGTATCCAAGCTATCCAAATCATGCAAATGAGTCACAATAATATGGCAAAAGAAATGTTGACCAAACCACACACTAGAAGATGAAGAGATGACGACGTTTCGGTTCGTCCTGGACCATTATCAAGTCAATTGTGATGAGACAAGGAAGGCACGGGCATTAAGGCAAGAGAGGCGAGGAGGAGGAAAATGTTGAAAACAACGAAACGTCGTCTCTTCATCTTCTAGTGTGTGGTTTGGTCAACATCAATATCCCATCATAATGTGAAATAGTGTATAGAAGATATATAATGTTCATTAATGTTTGACTAAATAACAAATAACAGAAACCTGGAAATGTTACCTGCTTAGCAAAGGTCTGAATACTTTAACAGTTTGTACATGCAAAATTTATCATCACAGATTACGAGATATTTGGCTCTTCAGGGGGCCACAGCTATGGTATGACCTACCTGTATTGTATGGCCAAAACCAGAGACCTGAGCATTGTTAATTCCAATTTAGCACAACAATGCTACAGGACTTCTTTTTGTTTAATGAATAGCCTACATTAAAATTTAATTACATTAGCAGTAATATCACCCATGTTTTAAGGAGTTTCACTGGTATATACATGCTGTACATTTTAAAATACAGTATAAAAAAGATCACAAGTGGCAAATGCAATTTTGAACAAGCTATCTATACACCATATGTAATATTTATCTGAACTGTAATTAGTGTGTGTAGCTGAATGAGAGTGCATGTGTGTTTTAATGTGTAGAGGCAATGGTGAAGGTAATACATCCAGGTCCTAGATTATTGTGACGACAGCTTGTTGCCATCAACCCATAAGCTAATCACCGTGATAACATATTTACACTTGAGATCAGATTAGAAGGCTAGAGACTATATCGAGACTCTATCGTAGATACACTTAAAAGACACATTCAGTATGCCTAACATAATATAATTCACTAAAAAAAAAAAATGTTCCTGGGATGTGTTACAGTATTTCCAACCTATCCTGAAATTATAGTAATTTTTTGTAACTATGTGTTCAGTCGTACCAATATGTAGTAATAGAGCCCAAGTAGCAACATAATTAAAAACTTTTCTGGTTTGTCCAAATACCAGTGTATAAAAATACACGTCAATACGTCGTGTGCACACACACACACACATTATTTTATTTTATTTTATTTTATTTATTTTTTATTTTATTTTATTATATATATATATATACATATATATATATATATATATATATATATATATATATATATATATATATATATATATATATATATATACATATATATATATATACACACATATATATATATATACACATATATATATATATACACATATATATATATATACACATATATATATATATACACATATATATATATATACACATATATATATATATACACATATATATATATATACATATATATATATATACACATATATATATATATACACATATATATATATATACACATATATATATATATATACATATATATATATATATACATATATATATATATATATATATATATATATATATATATATATATATATATATATATCTATATATATATAAATAAGGAAGGCAAGATCACTGCTCGGAATTTGTTATAATTTTTATTTAAATTATATTTTTAGTTTTAAATTTTAATGTTAATGAAAAAATACATAATGTAAAGTTCCAAGAATTCCTTACATATTAGTCATGGGAGAAATAAATTAACTTTTTCTTTATTATAATTGTACTTTGTTTCTCGCAGGATGATACAGAGTATAAAGATCCATGAAATTTGCTATTCCAACAATTTGCTGGAAGCCCAATGACCACTCAATAACTGCTACTGTACTTCCGCACAGTGGACCCTACCAAACATCGGACTGGCAAGAATGCACCCGCTATCATGTATCCAGACCTTCCTTCACCCATTGCCACCCCTGTCCTCAGCTTCCCATACCCCCTCCTCCAGCGAGAGAGCAGAAAGTCAACACAAGGAACACATTTAGGGAGCTGGTTCATGAAAATGATTTACAGTATACTGTAATCGTAAATCTTAAAAAAATTACTCGCTTCTTAATCTTCTGTGATAATTTTGTTTACATGTTTAGTATAAATATGTTAATTTTTATTCACTTTTTCACTCAACGAAAAGATGTAAATTTGTCCATTTTCTTATTGGAAATAGGTAAATTTCAAAATACTACTACATTGGCCACAAAAGCAAAGTTTAAAGGGAATACTGCATTGGCCCTTTTCTATATTTTTTAGGAATAAACAATTAGGAAATGCCACCACCCAGGAACAAAAATTAAGTAACAGTGCACATCAATTATGATTTGGGCTTACCTGAGGAAGGCAAACTGGGCAAACCTGAGTTTCAGGAGTTAAATGAACTGGTCTTGAAATATGACACTTCCATAAGGTGGAGCTATGACAATGGACTATGAACCTACCATAGTATATCATCTCTCTTGCAGCCTTATTATTATTATGTGGGCAATGGATCAGAATTACTAACAAAAGTTCCTCTACCAGCAATACCAAGGTCAATGTAACTTATTATTGTATGTGTACATCTGTCTTGTATTACTTGTATATACAGTCAGACAGATATATATAGTCTAAGTTGTGGGACGACACACGAGTAGACAGGATGGTGCATTCATGAATATAAGTTCACAATCCCATTTCTGTCATCAGCCATCAAAAAAAGTACCCTGGGCAGGATGCCTCCAATCGTAAATACTACACATTGGCAGACAGTTCATTTTGGAGTTTAACACACTGTATAGCCCAACCTTCTCCCTCAATATGTGTAAATTACACTGTGAAGTGTGGACATAAAACTACCAGATATGTACAGTACTCCCCAAATTATGGGTTTTTGTCCAATTAGCAAAGTTCTCATTCTGAAAGATATTTAATACATCAAGATTATACATTCTTTTACATATCGGTAATGTTTATAATTGGAAACAATAGCTCGATCCGGTTAGGTCTGAATGTGTGTACACAGTAGTTAGGTGGTCTAGGCACAACCCGGATTTTTATACCATTTCATTGTTTTACTGGCGACTAAATACGGTAGACATTGCCAAGGCACACATGCACGTGCCGCTGTACCAAGATACTCAACAACAGTTCACTTGAGACAGTTAAGCAAGTCCCAGCTGTGTCTGGGTACAAGTGACAGGATGAACAACCCAGCGGGTTTTCTTCCTATTGGGGAGTGTTGTACATGTCACTACGGCGGTGTGTCCACTCACAAGATGAGTGGTGCTGCCCAATAAACTCGCCCCTCGGGGCAAAATTTAAAAATTTAACAGTAATGTGAGGAACATCCACTTGCCAGAGGGTAGAGGTAGACGCTGGCCGTGCTAGCCTCATCACAGCCCGCCGGGGGCGTGTCTTCTTGCTTAATAACAATTTTCTTGCCATTTAGGTAAAGCGTTGATGCTTCAGACGCGTCAGACTGGCTGCTAGACAAGTTTGGTATCTCTGTTAATCTTATTTCTGTAGGAACTGCGAGCCACTGGGTCGGCGTCATTGTTGTTGTCAAGGTTCCTGGGTAGAGCATGGCGCGTGGGGCGGGCGGCTCCCCCGGCCTACACTATATGGCTACCCGGCACCTCACACCCGCCCCGCTCACTCATAGATGGCGCGCACCCTAACTCTTGGTGTTGTTGTTGTTGTTATAGATTCAACTACTCGGAACAAGTTCCAAGTAGCACGGGCTATGGTGAGCCCGTAACTTACCTGGCACAGGAGCGGGGCAAGTAGCACGGGCTATGGTGAGCCCGCAGTGGACTTACCTGGCACGTTGCAACCCGTTCTCGCACTTGCCTATAGTCAATATTGGCTTATTTAATAAGTGCATATGTGACATACTAATTGATTGTGAATATTTTAGTTTACCTTGAAAAGCTTCATAGAAAACACCGACCTCACCTAACCTTCTTAGTATGTTAAGATAAGCATCTTATTGCTTCTTATTTACAATTATTACATACCTATCAACTGTATAGGTTAAGTTTTTCAGAAAAAGCATGTTTTTTTATGACATCTATATAGTATGTATATAAAACCCCGCTCGGATGCGAATGGAACGTTGTGTGAAAATTTCAAAGCAATCGGTGAAGAACTTTCGGAGATTAGCGATTTTGAACAAACGAACATTTCCATTTTTATTTATATAGATATGTTTAGCTAAATTTACCCAAGGGCCACTAACTATCTAGTGGCCTTGACGAGGACAAAAAGCCGAGGGCTTGTTAAGTCCCGTCAATTGTCATAATGATATTTTCTAGCTTGATTTTGGCATTTACGACTTCAGCGGGTAGGTGGTTCCAAAGGTTTATAACCCTCTGGGTGAAAAAACATCTGTTTTTAGTCCTACTTGAGAGGACATACTCTCCAACGCCATATCTGTGATTGCCCTGTTATCAGTGCCTTCAGACCAAATGGAATGAGGTACTTTGAGCTCTGTAATTACTTCATACACTCAGGAATATTGGAAGATATTCTGGTACTGTACCCAGAGTGTGCCAGTGGAGGTTAATAGATCAGCCTTACATTTCTTATTCTCTCCTGATTCCATGTATGACTGGCCGTCCTGTGAGGTGGGGATGTTGGATGAGCTTGTAGCTAGTTTATGATCTACACTGTGATCTTTCATATAGAATAGGGTAGCAGCACATTAATTGCTGTGTATACCTAAGCTTGTTAATAAAAAAATCAGTAATGAAGGTTTAAAATTATAGCTTGTATTATTATTATTACCAGTATTATCCTTATTAAATCATAAATGTTAACCATGGATCATTAAGATCTCATATTAATATGTAATGTTGACCAAACCTCACACTAGAAGATAAAAAGAAGACAACAATGTTATTAATATTTCTTGTGAATCATTAAATTGTGCAGAATGTCTCAATTTTTCACTTCTTTGGATATATATTAGAAGAAAATAGGATAAATAACCCATAAATATTTGTTTCATTATATTTTTCTATTTAAATAACTGAATAAATATTGTTACAGCTGACAGGATTTGTTTTACTCACAAGTGCATTATCTGTTAAAAAAAATGGTTTATTGTTACACATAATGCTGCTATATAGCCTATAGCCTTAATATAGTAAGGTTCCCAATTTGGTGCCTTCTTTTGATAATTATTGTTACACACAGCCAAATTGTATAACAGGAAGAGGTCTTGGACACAAATTTGTTCCATGCTAAAGGTAGAGGAATCAGCTGAGCATTCCCCTCAACTAAAATAGCCTGCCTCACCTTATAAGGTAAATAAAATAAAATAAGCATTTCTCAAATAAGTAGCTGCCTCACCTCACTGCCTTATTGCTACATAGCCTTCCCGGCTTGGTGCCTTCTTTTGATACTTATTTATTATTTCACAGCCAAATTTGTGTAATAGGAAGAGGTCTTGAACCCCTACTTTCCCCTCTCTCTTTTTTAACAGGCCATAATAGTCCATACAGTCATAATTATAGGCCTAAGTATTCAATGAGAAAAGTTGTTGAAGTTTTTACCCTTATCCTTACCTAAGATCATTTGTGCAGCATATTTTTCTTTTATGTCTCGCCCAGATTTAATTTCAAAATAAAACCAAACAAAATAAATTAAAAAGGGGTATGTATAGCTAAGGTACACCCCCTAGCTGTACTTATTACTAGGTGAACAGAGGGATTTGGTGATAGAAATGCTCCCACCAGCCCGGGATTATCACCTTTCATATTTCATGTTCACCAGTATTTATTTACTTAATATCTACTGGTATAATATCTTGCTATTATAAAACTAATTCTAATATAAAAGACATATTTACTACAAGTTTCAAGCAGAGAATGCATATATAGATAACACGAAGGACTCCGTCTTGAAACTCGCCAGCTAAAATGTTTTGTTTATAATAAAATCGATCCTTCGTATTGTGTAGTAGAGAAAAAATGAATTATATCCAGTTTACGTAAAGCTACGAGTGGTCGAGGCGGTGTACTTACGAAGATTTTTCCCTCTTAAATGTTTACCTGAATACCGACGTAGTCGCTACGAAGGTTCTAAGAAGAAAAACATTTATAAGTATGTAGCGAGTAAACCTTATACTCGCTCCAATCTCTCATTAACTTAATGACAATTTAATGACTTAATTAGCACTAATTATGACTACTCAAATCCTTTCCCTAATTACAGGTAACAGTTCTTCCATCCTTCTATCTTGTTGGAGGAAGCTGAGATGTAGTCACCAAATATAAGCAAGCGACATGCGAATAGCCAGGAGTACAATTTCTAGTCAAGAATGTAGCACTCGGCGTATGCAGTTCTAATCGACCCCAAGACGTTACAACTTCGACACAGAGCAGACAGCATACTAGGACCACATCGAGCTACAACGCTCTCGCTCTCCATCAAGTTCAGACACTTACAATTCCCCATCGAGCCGCCACGCTCTCCCACATAGAGCTCCGTGACTCCGGCTTCAATCAGCTCTCTGCTCTGCTCCAAGCTCTGTCTCAACGTCTACGACACTGCTGTATCCAAGACTACTAAATAAATATGAAAACCCACTAAACACTGTGTATCTAATCTACTCAACAACGTAACATAATCGTATGTTACAAGTACGTACGTAACTGCTTCGTGAATCTGGCCCCTGGTGCTCAACATGGTGCTCACAAAAATCGCTTCATAAGTCTTCTTCTAGTACAGGGAGGGACTTGGGTACAGGGACTTGAGTACAGGGACTTGAGTACAGGGAGTTGCCCAGAAGGCTCCATAACAGAAACGCCTGCTTACTTCCTTCCTCAAGAAGAAGCAACACAATTAGAATGACATAAAGGCGTGACCAACACTCACTTCCAGGCCGCCTCTAATTTATCCGTCACAAAGAAATTGTGTACTATGTCCCCAACAGCTTCCTCACACTTGTGAACAAGTAGCCTTCAATCCAGCACAAACACAGGGAACTATTCAAAGTTCAAAATTCAAATTCAAAATTTAAAATGTTTTTACAGCATACACATCTCAACTCAATTCTCTGTGTTGAGTAATTAAAAACTATATTCTTCCTCCTAGGAGATCAACGAAGTACGACCATCTCTGACGACTGCTGTGACTCAAGTGAGGTCACGACGTCCTGCTAGCGTCACGTCACGTCACCAAAGTATCGACATCTCATTTCATGTCCTTATTGTCATAGACGCTCATCCTCTGCTCGTATTTTTAAATTAATCACTGACGTTTATTATATATTTTTTTCTTTGACCACTTAATCTCAGGTCTGGAAAGCAGAATAACTCTCTCTGGGTAGACTCGTTCCACCCAGACTACAGGGGTCACAACACATGAGAGAGGGGACGGATCTTCTCAGAAAACCCCAGCACCCAACGGGAGTAATGTTCAAGCATTTCCATCGTTCTGCATAAAGAACCTGTATCGCGTGGTAGTGGAAGTTTTAACAGTGGTTTGAGGCGTTCCGGGTCAGGTCTAGTTTTTCCCTCATGTATAAGGTACCCCAACAGCTTTATAGACCGGAGTCAAAAACTACACTTGTCAAGATTCAGGGTCAGGTTCAATGTTGCATTAAATACATCTACCTCCTTAATTAAATCTTCATAAAATGCTTCTGCCGAACCTGGCTTATAAGTATCATACCAAGACTTAATATGGCCAACAAGACCCCTTAATTCTCCCTCATTAAACTTTAACCTTTTCCTCTGAAGGCAGGCATGCTTTTTATCTAGTTTAAGCTGTATTTGTAATGCAAAATGATCACTTAGCATTTCATCCACAGTTAGACAATTCCCCTCTATGCCCTCAACATTTATTAAACAAGCATAATCTAATCTCCCTCCCCTCAAATGAGGAGAGGGCATATGTATTTATTGCTTATCTCAATAAACATACTTGAACTTGAACTTGAAAGGGTCAGGTTATACCTTCTTGCAACGTCCATAAAATATTCCAGATTTTTATCATGGTCGTCTTCAGAATCTCCACACACACAGACATCATCTACGTAAGCAAGAGTACCCTCCACTCCTTCTTTTTTTTTGAGGATGCCGTCAATTACTCTTTGAAAACTGGCCACTCAATTAGTGACCCCAAATGGGATACGATTAAATTCAAAAAGCTTTCCACAAACTTCGAAGGTCGTATAGGATTTTTCTTCCTCTTTTAAGCCCACCTGATGTCTAGTTTGGCCCACTTCTCAAGTCTAGGGTGATGTATACCTTAAATCTAACAACATTCAAATCAAATCAAATGTTTATTTAGGTAAGGTACATACATACAAGAGATTTTACAAAGAGTGATGGATTTATAGTTATTCACAGTTAGTTATTCATAGTTACATTATTCACAATCTCATCTATATGTGGTAAGAGGTAGGCATCCAGACCCGTGATTCGGTTGACTGTTTGTGTATAATCTACAACCATTATTTTCTTGTGATGTTCTCCCTTAGTTATCAATACTTGGGTTCTCCATAGAGAATTGCTGGGTCTAATTATCTCTTCACTCATCATCCGAGCGGTCTCAGAGTCAATAAACATCTTGTCTGATATGATTGTGTGTTATCTTTCTGTATTTCTGTACTTACGGTTATGTGGATGTGTTTATTCTTTTTTTCTTGTAACGTTATGTTTTTTGTATTGTGTCCAGTGCCCGTTTAGGGGTTTTGTGTTTTGTGCTGTGTCATGTAATTTTCATTCTTGGTTGTTATTGTGTATGTTTGGTTTGTTTTCAAGTCTTTTTACTTTGTTATGTTTGTCCTGTATGTTTTCATGTGTTGTTTATTCTGCAGTTGCCTGCTTGTGCTTTGTACATTGTTTTCTTTTATAAAAAAAATTAAGGGTCCTCGATCCCATTGTTCGTTCACAGATTTGAACGATCCCATTTCTCGTTCACTGCAAGTAAGGTTATTAGGTATTTTTTACTTTTTTTATCTTTTGACTGGGTTTTATTGTTTTAATTTTTGATTAATTAGTTCACATAAATCATAGAGATTTTTTTTTTAGTTCTGAATATGGAGTATTATCTCGCACGAGTATCCTCTATTTCATAAGTTTTTCACTTCTGAAGGCATGACAAAATTAACTCTCCAAAGTTGACTTTACAATTTTATTGGGCCTGATACTTGTTGCTGAAGGATGCGTCTCGCTGAAGCACTCGTCACATCTTCGGATGAAGAGAATTAGGTGAATGCAAATCGGCAGAGATGACAGTACATACTCAAATACTTGATGCTGTAGCGTATGGTGGAGAACTCCATTACCTATATCAGAGAGCGTAGTAGTTATATGTAAATCCTGGACTGGCTTTGGTAGGGGGCCTTTAGACGTCCTATGGATTCAGTGGAATCCCAGGTTGTATAATCCTTCGCATTGTTCTGTGGTTTTCTCATTGATATATCATGCTAGTGTGATTTTCTTGAGTACTAATATTATAGTACCTTAAGGGAGGAGGCCTGCAACCATAAAATAATTTTTGACAAATATTAGTGATGTTTTCAAAAGCATTTCCACAAATTTATATTTGCAACTTAACCATGTTAAATATATATATAAAAAAGTAAGAAAATCTGGATACAAAAATTACAATGAGCTGTTGAATTATAAATGTCAATTTCTCAGAATTATAGTATTTGGGTGATAAAAAAGAACATATATCAATTATACGACTTGTAAACACATAATTCTGACGAATATAACTTATGCAGTTTCAAAATAGAATATAAACAGGGGTAGAATAATAAAAGATTTTTATTTCTTTCTTTATAATGACACAGAATACTTGAAGTCTGATGCAAAACACAGTGAAGGGAAGGTTCAGCAGCTCCATACAACTCAACCCTAAAGCATTACATGAGGTCAAATTAAATATTGGGTAGTATATTCCTACATCAGAACTGTCAAGACAGCATTTCTATGTCTGAGATAAAGCAACATATAAATGCCACAGCTGTTGGGTTGATCCTCACACAAAGTTTCAAAAATGATACCTCGGTGACTACATCCATGGTACCATTTCTTTATAACTTCCGTGTCCTAAACCTCTTTGGCTTTATATTACTTTCGATAAGGGTTATTATTTCTACATTCATCTCTAAAATATAAGTAAGCAATTAAAAATTCAAGTCCATGCTATCTCAGCTGTTTACATCACAGAATGTACCTTGACTAAGGTGCCACAAGTCATACAGGTACTGAAAGAACTTGGTTCCAGGGAATCTTCATTCCATATCTTTCAACCATTCTAAAAAAAAGCTATATATATTATATATATATATTATATACATATAATATAATATAATATAATATAATATAATATAATATAATATAATATAATATAATATAATATAATATACACATTAAAATTGATATTAAAAAACTATCATGCTCGACATTTTCCACGAAAGAATGGAACGCAAGTGAAAGAGTTTACAAGTGAATTTTTATTTTTACTGCATGTTGCCAATAGCAGGTCAGGTGTCAAGTGCAACCAGGCACAGCGTTTGTAAATGTCACTATTGGAGAGGTTCCTTGGTAATATGGACACAAGTGGAGTGTTGTGCAGGAATGAAGCAGTCTCATGAAACTCGCCTGTGTACACCAACACATTCAAGCATTTGATTTGTGTATGGAAGATTCAAGGAATAGTTGAAGACTAAAACTATGTTCACAAGTACCCTAAATGTACATGACATTGCTAATCTGAAAAGTAACAAAACCTAGAATAAGAACCTTTGGTTAGTATGTCCACTTGCAACATTAGAAGCCATTTTATAGATAAATAAACGTTAATTCAATAAATGTACATCAGGGCCAGTTTAGCTGTCTATAGTACAAGTTTGATAGGCATGCTACAAACGAATAGCCAAGGTATTAACACTTCAAAAAACTTATGTAATTCAGAGTCTGGCCTTTACAAAGTGGGTGTAATCTGCCCAACATTGTACACTGCTTCACGAACAATAACATTTTCCCTTCAGTATATCTTTTATGGATTATTGCTTTTTCTGACACTAATTTGAAATTGCAATATGACCAAAATACTACTGTATTAAGCTAGGTTCTCAGGGAAGTAGTCAAGTGTGCATTCTGCTACACGAACTGTATCATCAACAGTGAGTATTGAAGCTGGCTTATAAATGCTCTTCAAATTAAACAAAAACTTTACATAAATGTCTAGAAGTAAAAAGCAAAGATGATAAATTTGTTATCTATGTACATTAACTATTTATTAGGTTTACCATGTATCAAAAGCAGCTGCAGTGTAACTCGTTCACATGCATCCCAATGGTGAAGTAACATAACTCTATCTGGACTGACATGGAATGCATATAAACACATTGTAGTGGACAGAAACATCCTCTCATCAAGCTTTTCCACTTAGAATTAATCTTCCAATCTGCATTTTATGAGAAAAATCAGATGGTACACAGTCATCAAGTCGTCTTCTGTGGATTCTATACACCACAGAGAAACTCAGTCAATAATCACAGTAACAGCATATGTAACTAAGTCTGCATATTTAAGAACAAGCATCTCCACAAAGCACTTATCCTTTTTTAATAATTTGACTGTGCTGATTGCTGCAGTTTCCTCTCACTATCAAATCAGCAAGTGAACCCTGACTTAAAGGAGGGGACTCGGGCCACTATGGTTCACAAGGTCTTCACAGGAAGATCACTGTGCAGGCGTCACGTCTCCACTGGTGGCTGCTTTCTCAACTTCTTCCTCCTAGAGCAAATATTGGTGTTATTTAATAATGTGTGGAATATTCACATCTTAACAATAAACGATTTAAATATATGAATATTACGCCACTATTATCCAACTTCGTCGTCCTCACATGTGATGTACTGTATAAAAGGCCTTTTCATGGTTTCTCTGATAAGTCACTCACAAATAGCTGGTAAAGTATATAATTTGGAAAGGTAAACATATATTGGAGAATAATGCAGCTTAAGCGTGGGCTTAAATATATTGTATTGAAAAATCTGACATTTGAACAAGCTTCCTATAAAAATGAAGGCCAGCCTTACTTTCCGTCTCCTGCACTAACACGTTGACTCTCTGCCTACCAAATGATCCTACCAAAGACATGTTATATTACAGGAATACTCCGGTATATTTCAATTTTTAGATGGTCCTTACGAATCAAATTTTGCAGGTCCCGTTCCATCAGGTTTGGCCATAAATTTTCCTCGTTGATATTTTGTGGTGGAGTTTACTTTTTGTGGAGAAATCTGCCACTGTTACAAGTTCATGTGTGTAGAATTTTATATGTATTATTGCAGCTAAAATATATGATGATGAATTGCAGAAAATTAGTTTTAATTTCACTATCGTTTCTAAATTCAATATTTAGAAATAGCTATTCGTGTATATGTATATATATATATATATATATATATATATATATATATATATATATATATATATATATATATATATATATATATATATATGGGCGATATTGTGGCCAAGTGGTCACCCATCCAGTTGCTTGCTTTCACCCGAGTGATGAACACAGCGTCCACTACACTACATCAACGGCAGATGGATGGAAGGAGAGGCAGGAGGATAAAGGGGGGTAGAGAGGCAGGAGGATAAAGGGGGGTAGAGAGGCAGGTGAAGCAGCAGCAGGCCGATGTAACACCAACAAGCACAGGGAGCACAAGCAAGATGGGCAACAAGCAGCCAAATGCATCATCCACCATCACAAAAATGCCTTACTAATTGACTGTTGAAATCGATCACGTTCAAGCAAACTGTGACGGAACGCGTCTGTAAAACCGGCCATACATATAGGCTTCGTGCCTGCTACGATATTGGACTCAAATGTGCTATAAAGAAAAACTTATTAAAAACATGTCACGCAATACCCTAACGGTCGGCCGAGCGGACAGCACGCTGGACTTGTGATCCTGTGGTCCTGGGTTTGATCCCAGGTGCCGGCGAGAAACAATGGGCAGAGTTTCTTTCACCCTATGCCCCTGTTACCTAGCAGTAAATAGGTACTTGGGTGTTAGTCAGCTGTCACGGGCTGCTTCCTAAGGGTGGAGGCCTGGTCGAGGACCGGGCCGCGGGGACACTAAAGCCCCGAAATTATCTCAAGATAACCTCAAGATAACCCTCATAAACTGACATACATTCTTGTATATATATATGTAATATACAAGTTTATATCTATATATAGGAACTTGTATATTCACTTGAGTCCCGGAGAATGTTTAGGAGTAAAGTATACTTAGTAAAGTATCAGGAAGATAATGTAGTGGCCGCGTAATCTTTGCGTCTAATATGAGCCAGTAAAGATATGGAGCGGCCGAGCGAGTCATGTCCTTCAGGCTTCACGCAGCAGCACAGTCCTTATGGTGTAGTGGTAAGACACTCGCCTGGTGTTTCACGAGCGTTTTGTCCAGGGTTCGTATCCTGGCCGGGAAGGATTTACTGGGCGCCAATCCTTAACTGTAGCCTCTGTTTACCCAACAGTAAAATGGGTACTTGGTTGTTAAACGATTTGGCGGGTCGTATTCCAGGGACCACAGGATTAAGGACTTGCCAGTAACACTACGCGTGCTGGTGGCTGCATAAGAATGTAACAACTCTTGTATATATAAATTAATAAACAAATAAAATAAAAAAATACAATAAGCAAGAGCCTTCCCGAGGCGCGGCACGTTGGCGCCACCCGCACACAGCTGCTCCTTCATCTACACTTATCACAGTTGAAATTTCACGACATTATTTGACAATTAGAATATGTTATTACAGCTCTCTAACCTTTTAATTGTCAAATAAGAAATAAAGCGAGTCAGTACCTGGACATGATTGTAGTCTAATAATTCGATGCGTCTGATAAAACGTAAACAATTTACTGATGCGATGATCAAACTTCTTACAAACTTCAAAGTGAATATTAAATAATAATAATTATTAAATAAACGGTGCTAAAGTTTTCGCCCTGAAATGGAAGTTATCACGTCAACAATTAGTAACATGATATTGTGTATCAGAAGAAAACACTGAAGTGATGAACTTGAATAATTATTCAATGAATAATTGAATAATAATAATTGATGAATGAATAATAATTATTCTTGAATAATTCGTAAAATAATAAAACAAAATATAAAAAATACAATAGACATTACCATGAGCAGAAATATATAGAGGAACCAAAGTAAAGCTTACCAGAGTTAATGACAAGTCCCCAAGTATATCATATCAAAGATAAGATGTCAGCAAAGATAAAAACTACAGAATTCTATATATACCAAAGTAAGAAGAAAATAGAGATGCTACTCGACACTCGGAGCGCTACACTAGAGAAGAGAAGCGTGCTGAGGAAGCGTGCTGAGGCAGACGGAAGGTGTTGGATTGACAGGCAGGACAGAGAGCTGTCTGAGGTGCTCTGAGGCGCTGAGTTACCTGTGTGGCCGGGGACAGCAGTGCTGGGCTCGGACTCTGAAATATACACACATATATATATTCATTTTAAGTTTAACCTGTGATGCCAGATATTGTTTTTTAAATATATTCATTTTTTGTTTCTCAATTTTACTTCTAAAATAATGGTTTAAATGTTATTATAATTTCTACTTTTTAATACTGTAATATTTAAGGAACAATTCTAAAGCTTTGTAAATTATATTTCGTATGTTGCATTATTTAATTAGTAACAATTTATATTAAAGTATACTTTCAAAGAGGCACTGCAACTGTGCTTACTTAACATTGACAATAAATTACTTAAATCAACTACATTAGCTTCAGATTCAAGGATGAAATATTGCTTTAAATTGAGCAGAAGAACATTCAGAAGCTATTATTGTAAGCGGTCAGTGACTCGACCTTCAAGTTATGCCCAGTATATTACCTAGACAGGGGGGCCTCGTAGCCTGGTGGATAGCGCGCAGGACTCGTAATTCTGTGGCGCGGGTTCGATTCCCGCACGAGGCAGAAACAAATGGGCAAAGTTTCTTTCACCCTGAATGCCCCTGTTACCTAGCAGTAAATAGGTACCTGGGAGTTAGTCAGCTGTCACGGGCTGCTTCCTGGGGGTGGAGGCCTGGTCTAGGACCGGGCCGCGGGGACACTAAAGCCCCGAAATCATCTCAAGATAATCTCAAGAAGATTGACATAATTATAGACTAACTGACCTTCTCCGTGACTTGTGTAACCTAAAGACAGGCGCTTGGTCTTACCTACGAGCAAGCTGGACACACAGACACACACCAAGGAGGAGAAGCTAAGACAGAGCACTCAACGTGGAAGGATTTGGCACGAGGGTAAACATGGCTGTATCTCATGTCGGAATTCATCACTTTTACATGAAAATCCTAGACATTTTTTCCCTACATGAATGCAATGTTTATATATTTATATACTTAAGTTTGTTTAACATGAAACTCTTGAGAGTTGACACAATTCTTAGTAGTGATATTTGTCCTTTAATTATATTTATATACAAATATTTTTAAAGCCCAATCAGTTTGATTCTTGTTGAGAAACGAAAAACTATTTTTGTTGCGTGTTTAGCTGTGTAGGTTAAGAGTGAAGAGTTAAGGTCATATTTGTAGGAGCAAGCCTTGACCTGGCTGGGTGTAGTACTGACCAAGGCAAGGCCCCTGGCCTCACCTGCCCTCACCTCTCTATATGTAAGGCTTTGTTGTGAGGCTTACCTCACTCCCTGTCCTCCACCACCTCCTCACTCACTGTGGTAGTGCCCAGGGCACCAGCTTGGGGCATGATGCCCCTCATCTTGGGCAAGAACATGTAAACAACAACAAACACTCTGAAATATTACTCACTGTTTCCCTGTGTGTTTTGATCCCTTTACAACATGGGAATGGTTTCCTCTTAATTTTTGTTTACATTCTCAAGTGCACACTTGCTTAAGTGATACTCGAGGTATGAGTCAAGTAAATGAACACTTTACAAGGCAGACTTATTCGTGTGGCTAATGCTGCATAAGGTACAGTTTGTTCTGCTAAATAAGTAACGTTTGTTATGCTATAACATAGAAGTAGTGAGGTGAAAGAGAAGGATGCTGGTATAAGTAGAATATTATCCTCATGGGTGAGTTGTAATGAGGATTTACCGTAAGAAGCGTCACTGTTTGGAGAGTACATATATTAGACACGTGCCTCCAACACCTGCACGTGCCCCCAACACCTGCACGTGCCCCCAACACCTGCACGTGCCTCCAACACCTGCACGTGCCTCCAACACCTGTACGTGCCTCCAACACCTGTACGTACCTCATGCTGTGATGTCGCTCCTCACATGTTGCAGCATCATGTGTTTCCCTCCACATAGTTTATAAGTGAGGTATTATATGAGAGTAAAGTAATACGTACCTAGAGTGTTGCTGCAACAGTTATGAGTAACACAACATAACACATAAAGCAGCATACATTACTATAGGTTGACGACAACAGAATTAAACACTATTGTAAGTATAAAGTAAGAGAATAATGGAACAAAATAATAGGGATGTTTACTAAGAAACGGTAAGTTATGCAGGTGGCATCTTAGGAGAGTGGAGATGCTACCTCAGGAAGCTTACTGCTATGATCACCATGCACGACACAGCCAAGTGTTGACAAGTGTTGATAAGTGTAATGTCTTAACAGATCACTTAATCCATTTATACTTCGCATGCTCTATGAACTCTGCTTTTCCCCCACTTCAATCTCACTAGTGAATATAAATATGGAAGAAAATACCCACATGAAACAGGATAATAAAGGTTTCTCACTGGATGACAGTCAAGCTGTTACGGGGATATCTATCTTAAATCACCAGATCTTGAAGAACACCTCACATGTGCACTTGGGATACTGGTGTTCTCCTGAGGTTAGAGACACATGACAGACAAGAAAGAAGGGACAAAAGAAGGTGGGACCATACCTGAGTTCGTGACAAATTCGCCTCCGAAGAAGCCTTACTAGTTGGGGTTTTACATGGGGAACCCTGGACTTGTCTCAGGTAATCCTTGTCATCAAATATTTTCTTATCACCTCCTCCAGCCTTATGCTGAACATTATTTAGTGACCCTACTTTACTCGAAGCCTTTTCTTTGAAGTCCAACTTTTTTTTCTCAATCTGCAAGAGTGCAAAGTAGCAGACAGTGGTTGCAGAGGTTGCAAAGCAGACTATAAGCCAGCAGTTGCAGGAAAGCAAACTCCACATATTAATCTACACACATTACTCAACCAATTTTACCAATGCTTTCCCACAACTGTTCTCATAATAAGGTAAATACATCTAACTAAATAAAAAGGAGAAGAAGTACATTCAAGATCGCTTTAGCAAGCAAATGTTTCTTGGCCAACTTCTCCTTAAAGTTTGGAGAACAAACTTGGAATGTTGGTGGTAGGGAAGAGCAAAGCTCTAAGTGTGAGCGCTACGGTGCTGAGGTGCTCAGGGGCTCAGAGCACCTTCAGTAAGAACAAAGCTATAAACTCACAACTTTTACATGCGTTTCTTTGATGCTCAAATTAAAAAAAAATACTGTGATAAAACTTCCAGACTCTTTCCTGTACATTGGTACCGTGTGTATTGTGTAAGCCTAACAGTGCACAGTACAGCCTTGATAACATGTATATAGTGTCTTGATACCGTGAAGTGTGTGTGTCCCTACCAGCACACAGCTCACCGTGACACTCACAGTACATCACGGTACCATGCCACTCCAACACACTCCCTCTACACCATAATAAACGTGACCCAAACATTACGTGCCCAACGACTCACTTCCATTCATCTACTGAATAAGTCAATTCGTAAATAAACAAACCGAACATTTGGTGAGAAAACTGCAAATTATTCAACTAGACGTAACATGTGGCTTGTGTTGGTGTCAGCACTTTGGCGCAGGCAGGTGTGTGGCGTGTATGTCAGGTGTGGAGTGTGGCGTGTATGTCAGGTGTGGAGTGTGGCGTGTATGTCAGGTGTGGAGTGTGGCGTGTATGTCAGGTGTGGAGTGTGGCGTGTATGTCAGGTGTGGAGTGTGGCGTGTATGTCAGGTGTGGTGTGTGGCGTGTATGTCAGGTGTGGAGTGTGGCGTGTATGTCAGGTGTGGTGTGTGGCGTGTATGTCAGGTGTGGAGTGTGGCGTGTATGTCAGGTGTGGTGTGTGGCGTGTATGTCAGGTGTGGTGTGTGGCGTGTATGTCAGGTGTGGAGTGTGGCGTGTATGTCAGGTGTGGTGTGTGGCGTGTATGTCAGGTGTGGTGTGTGGCGTGTATGTCAGGTGTGGTGTGTGGCGTGTATGTCAGGTGTGGAGTGTGGCGTGTATGTCAGGTGTGGAGTGTGGCGTGTATGTCAGGTGTGGAGTGTGGCGTGTATGTCAGGTGTGGAGTGTGGCGTGTATGTCAGGTGTGGAGTGTGGCGTGTATGTCAGGTGTGGAGTGTGGCGTGTATGTCAGGTGTGGAGTGTGGCGTGTATGTCAGGTGTGGTGTGTGGCGTGTATGTCACAGTTACCAGGAGACACACATAATAGGCTGCACAGTAATTACCTGTGAATGGGCTTCGTCCACCACTAACAACCTCAACTCGTCATTACCCCTTCACCAGTGAGACATGAGAACCATTAGTAGTTGTGAGATGTACCACTAACACTCCTTCCCTCCACACCTTCCCTCCCTCCCTCCACACCTTCCCTCCCTCCCTCCATACCTTCCCTCGCTCCCTCCCTCCTTACCTTCCCTCCTTAACCTAACCTAACCTTCCCTCCCTCCCTCCACACCTTCCCTCCCTCCCTCCATACCTTCCCTCCCTAACCTAACCTAACCTTCCCTCCCTCCCTCCCTCCTTACCTTCCCTCCCTAACCTAACCTAACCTTCCCTCCCTCCCTCCCTCCTTACCTTCCCTCCTTAACCTAACCTAACCTTCCCTCCCTCCCTCCCTCCTTACCTTCCCTCCCTCCTTACCTTCCCTCCTTAACCTAACCTAACCTTCCCTCCCTCCCTCCACACCTTCCCTCCCTCCCTCCACACCTTCCCTCCCTCCCTCCACACCTTCCCTCCCTCCCTCCTTACCTTCCCTCCCTAACCTAACCTAACCTTCCCTCCTCCTCACATATAAACAATACCTCAGCAGTAATACAGTACAAACAATAAGCTCCCAGAAGAATGTAAGAAGTTATGAACGCGGCCCAAACGTCTCCGGCACCTGCCGGCCGAGTCCAACTTGTTCTCTGTAAACACGTCAGGAAAATATAGGCGCCTAACATATGGAATATTCTACATATTAATCTAGGGGTAGATAACTAGCATCAACGGGTAGATACCGAGCATCAAGGGGTAGATACCTAGCATCAAGGGTAGATAACTAGCATCAAGGGGTAGATAACTAGCATCAAGGGGTAGATAACTAGCATCAAGGGTAGATACCTAGCATCAAGGGGTAGATAACTAGCATCAAGGGGTAGATAACTAGCATCAAGGGGTAGATACCGAGCATCAAGGGGGTAACACAGGGGCCCCCTGAGGGAAGGCCCAGGGTAACACAGGGGCCCCCCTGAGGGAAGGTCCAGGGTAACACAAGGGGCCCCTCCCTGAGGAAAGGTCCAGGGTAACACAAGGGGCCCCTCCCTGAGGGAAGCCCCAGGGTAACACAGGGCCCCCTTCCTGAGGGAAGCCCCAGGGTAACACAGGGCCCCCTCCCTGAGGGAAGCCCCAGGGTAACACAAGGGGCCCCTCCCTGAGGGAAGCCCCAGGGTAATACAAGGGGCCCCTCCCTGAGGGAAGGTCCAGGGTAATACAAGGGGCCCCTCCCTGAGGGAAGGTCCAGGGTAATACAAGGGGCCCCTCCCTGAGGGAAGGTCCAGGGTAATACAAGGGGCCCCTCCCTGAGGGAAGGTCCAGGGTAATACAAGGGGCCCCTCCCTGAGGGAAGCCCCAGGGTAACACAAGGGTTCCCTCCCTGAGGGAAGCCCCAGGGTAACACAAGGGGCCCCTCCCTGAGGGAAGCCCCAGGGTAACACAGGGCCCCCTCCCTGAGGGAAGCCCCAGGGTAACACAAGGGGCCCCTCCCTGAGGGAAGCCCCAGGGTAATACAAGGGGGTCAACACCTATAAATTACATTACGAGATCTATAACTTAACGCAATTACATAGCAAACTTATTGATACTTTTACCTCTCTTCTTTCATGAGGGAAGCATGCAAGTGAATATTATCACATGAAAACTGTAATATGTAAAGTGTATAATAATTAAAGGTGTACTTTACATAAATAAATATGACAGGGAAGGTGGTCTACTCTTGGTAAACATATGACAGGTGAAAGAATTAGATTTTAGATTATAAGAACATGCAAGGTTAAAAAATAAAATACAAATAAAGTTCTGGATTCAAAATAATTTGCTGTTCTATTTTCCTTATTACCAAAGTGACCTTGATAATGCATCACTATACAGTACTACATTTTGTTACTAAATTAAACCTTGGTACTGTATCACTATCCTGTATTTTGTTACTAAATTGACCTTGGTTCTGTATTTCCATCATTTATATATAAATAAATAAATGTTTATTTAGGTAAGGTACATACATACAAGAGATTTAACAAAGTTTGTTGGATTAATAGATAGAGCTAGTACATACAATGCCTAAAGCCACTATTACGCAAAGCGTTTCGGGCAGAAACGCTTTGAATCTCTGAATTTCTGTTAAAACTTTATCCTACTCCCTGTACATAACTAACCGTCTGGATGTGATATGTAGCTTTAACAACATACTGATAAGGCCTGGAAGCACTGATGACTGGTACAATAATGGTAATAACACTTGCTCTTGGTTGAGTCTACTGAAGTAACCTTTCTTAAGAGTAACATTATACACAACATTATATTCCTTATAAAACTTCTTATTGGCATCTTCACGAGATTTCACATTTTTGTAACTTTGAACTTTAAGGGAAAAATAATTATACAGAAATAATAGAAATATATGATATAAAGAGACAACTTGTAAATAAGGATCACAGAAGCATTAAAAATTATTTGTAAACTAAAAATACATTAAACAAAATAATTATTTGCCCTCCTAAAAAAGAAAAGACCAATCAATAAACATGTAAAACCTCCCAAAAATGCTGCTGTTGAAGAGTTGATGATGCCTCAGTGGTGGGAGCCAGAGGGAGAATGTTCTCATGGTCTTCTCTGTAGATTATAATGCTCTGTAATATACTGTAGGATAATACACTACTGTATCCTCCCCACAAAATAAATAACCTAGTAGTCTGGCATTGACAGTGTATTACTTGTGAAGGAAGGCCGATTCTTGGGCACCTTGGTGGATACTGTGAATGGTGTCTGACTACTGTGAGGTGAGCATCACTACACGTGTATGAGGTGGTGGTGACACATGGTGGTGACACATGGTGATGCGTGATGGTGACACATGGTGATGAGTGGTGGTGAGAGGTCCCACACGTGACCCAGCTTGATCTCACATGCGAGTCGCCGCCCCCATGCTTCGTGTCTTACCTGTGAATGATGAACAGTACACGTCCTCTCACACACACACACACACACACACACACACACACACACACACACACACACACACACACACACACACACACACACACACACACACATCCTATTGTTTAGATAGTACTTATTGTGACAATCGTCAATAGTCACGAATTCGCAGGTAATTAGTTTTTAGATAGTAGTATACTGACTGGTAAGGAATTATTTTATAACAAATAAAGCTAAAATCAAACTGAAATATTCCTAGGCCTAGTATAGCACACATATGTACTATATTAGGCCTCAGATATCGCGCGTTAGGCCTAGTAAGGCTAGATTACGTTAGTTTAGTTTGTCTTTGTAACACAAGTACAAAATAGTGTTCAGCTTTGTCCAACACAATAGTGCAGATTTCTACTTTCAAATGTCGTTGTAGGTGGGTATATGTACACTATACCCCACCTCTAGTGGGTATAGTGGCGAGTCTACCCACTAAAGGTAGACTAATGTTTTTGTTTACTATAAGCACTACCAGAACAGGAGGACGGGGTGCACACACACACACACAGCCTCAGTACCCTCAGGCTGAGGCAGAGTTACCATTGAGGGACCTGGAGCGGTCAGAGTACAAGCAGGTGATCATGGCACAACTGCCACTCAGCTCAGCTACTTACTTTTCCTTCTGATTTTGCACTCTTCCGCTGTTACCACAGCAATGTGACGGCAGAAGAAAAAATATTGATATTTTATCATAAACAAATAAAAACAAAACACAAAAAAAATGAGGTTTCACCAATCTATGGATGGACCTCACAAGACACACAAACAAATGAAAATTATTGATTGAGGTGAGAACCAAAGCCGTTTGTGAATGGTGGGAGGTGGGGTGTTGCACGGAGGGGGGGGGGGAGTGAACGGGTTGAGGGGGGGGGGAGTGAACGGGTTGAGGGGGGGGGGGAGTGAACGGGTTGAGGGGGGGGAGTGAACGGGTTGAGGGGGGGGGGGGGGAGTGAACGGGTTGAGGGGGGGGTGGTGGAACTATGGTGACTTTCTGCCACCTGCAGGAGCCCTGAGAGGCACCACCTGCAGGAGCCCTGAGAGGCACCACCTGCAGGAGGCCTGAGAGGCACCACCTACAGGAGACACCACCTGCAGAAGGCCTGGGAGACATCTATAAACATGAGACTATTTCACCCTTCAGGAGCAGCCTTAATTAAGTTTTCAACACAGTTTGTAAATGTATTTATATGAAATTTGAACTTAAATAATGAAAACCACCAATTACAGCCTCCCAGCAGACGCACATTCCTCCCCCACAACCAGTGTTGAGAGTGATACAATGGCTCCGTCTGGCGATAGCTCCAGGGGCTTCCTGAAGCCTTATTGCTGACATTGCTGCCCAGTGTTGAGTGCCATCAGTCACAGGCGCCCTGCGGGGCCCACCGGGGACCACAGCCACCACCACCCGGCCCATCATACGGGTCCACAGACCTGGCGATGGTGACAATCACCTACATCGGGAAAACATCCAGAAAGTCAGCGAAGAAATGCAGACAAATACAAAAGTTTATCAGTAAACAAAGCACTGAACAGTGACTCTGTCAGCGATTTATTCCAAATAATTGGTTCACACAAAACTAGCCTGAACCCTCTAATGCTAGTGACAGCCAACAGGTGGCGTCCAAGCTTCTAGCCAACGACCAGTCAGTCCGGAACTGAGGAACCACGAACCGACGCACCTAATAAGTGAGGAGGAGGAGCCAGGGAGCCACAGAAGGTATCAGCAAGAGGAGCCATGTCATTATATTCAACGCTGGTTTTCTGGGAGGGGGACGGGGGGGGGGGGCGGTGGCTCTGAAACTAACCACGAAGAATTTACCTCGATGAGGACAAGAAGCCGGTGGCTTGTCAAAGGTCCCCCCCCCCCTCCATTTGTCCTGATGATTTTGTCCAGCTGTATTTTAATACCCAGCAGAGTTTTGGCATTTACGGTTTCGGCGGGTAGGCGGTTCCACAGACTTACAATCCTACGGGTGAAAAACTCATTTCCTGTTTACTGTCCAACACTGTGGCTTGTTGAGCTTGAACCCGTTGCTCCTCGCTCGTGTTACATCTGAGCTTGTTGAGCTTGAACCCGTTGCTCCTCGCTCGTGTTACATCTGAGCTTTCGAAGAAATTGTTCGGATCAACTTCCTACAAATTGTTCAGTATTTTAAAGGTTTCGATGAGATCCGCCCCGTCATGCGCGGTGTGTAGTGATGTTAGCCCTGTGGCCCTCAACCGTTCCTGGGGCCAGATTCACGAAAGCACTTACGAACGTATACATCTTTCCTCAATCTTTGACGGCTTTGGTTACATTTATTAAACAGTTTACAAGCATGAAAACTTCCCATTCAACTGTTGTTATTGTTATAAACAGCCTCCTGGTGCTTCGGAGCTCATTAACTGTTCAATAATTGTAAACAAAGCCGACAACGATTGAGAAAAGATGTACAGGTTCGTAAGTGCTTGCGTAAGTGCTTTCGTGAATCTGGCCCCTGATACGAGAGATGACTGAGCTTTGGAGGGAAGAGCATGGGACACACCAGGGAAGAGCATGGGACACACCAGGGAAGAGCATGGGACACACCAGGGAAGAGCATGGGACACACCAGGGAAGAACATGGGACACACCAGGGAAGAGCATGGGACACACCAGGGAAGAGCATGGGACACACCAGGGAAGAGCATGGGACACACCAGGGAAGAGCATGGGACACACCAGGGAAGAGCATGGGACACACCAGGGAAGAGCATGGGACACACCAGGGAAGAGCATGGGACACACCAGGGAAGAACATGGGACACACCAGGGAAGAGCATGGGACACACCAGGGAAGAGCATGGGACACACCAGGGAAGAGCATGGGACACACCAGGGAAGAGCATGGGACACACCAGGGAAGAGCATGGGACACACCAGGGAAGAGCATGGGACACACCAGGGAAGAGCATGGGACACACCAGGGAAGAGGAAGGTGGCCACTGGAGGAGTCACCACGACCCAACTACACCTCCCAAACAAACTCCAAGAGCCCGACAAGCAGCCCATGACATATTAGCGCATGAAAAATTAAATAAAATATTAGTGAATCAAATACTATAGACTAGGAAGGATATATAAGAGAATGGGCCCCCACAGGACAGAGTCCAACAGATGACTGATAGTTATCTTGGACACGAAGCGGGACCCGCCGTGCTGAGACGAGTAGGGACGGTCACATGTCCAACGTCGGCCGAGAAGCTGCGACACCCCCATGTTGGCCGCCATTAACATTAGCGGGTTCAAGTTAGTGTTGAGAGACGAGTAGGGACGGTCACATGTCCAACGTCGGCCGAGAAGCTGCGACACCCCCATGTTGACCGCCATTAACATTAGCGGGTTCAAGTTAGTGTTGAGAGAAGCAACTATTCTGAATGAATCGTTTGCAGTCATTTGATCGATTTAGTGCTTCGTTTTCTACGAATGTCCCAGTTGCCGGTATTACTTTGCTGACTTTCTTGATGCTTTGCCAGAGATGGGAACACTGGCCTGTGCTTGTGTGAGGCGGCGACGTGATCTGGCTCCTCCACGGTAGGAGAGGCAGGACTCCTGTGACTGACGCCGCTCACTACTGGTAAGCCATCTCACCACTATAGCTCCCGGTACCCACTGACGGAGACACCCACAAATTTGTTTAAATGTGTGTGTGTGTGTGTGTGTGTGTGTGTGTGTGTGTGTGTGTGTGTGTGTGTGTGTGTGTGTGTGTGTGTGTGTGTGTGTGTGTGTGTGTGTGTGTGTGTGTGTGTGTGTGTGTGTGTGTGTGTGTGTGTGTGTGTGTGTGTGCTTGCGTGCCACATGTGTGTGTGTGTAGCACATCAGAGTGTTTGTGTCTCATGTCAATCACCTCTTGTGTTTGTAACAAATCTGTACTAGTATAAATTGTGTTACTGACAAACACACACTACGATCACAGACACAAGTACTGTACTGTACAATGTTTCATTAAGGATGCCAGGCTGATGATGTCTTCTATTGAGATGATATATTGTGAGTGTACACACACACACACACACACACACACACACACACACACACACACACACACACACACACACACACACACACACACACACACACACACACACACACACACACACACACACACACACACACACACTGCTGATGAAAGCCAAAAATCTTTAAAAGTTAGTTTTCAATCTCACTAGATTTTGTAGTTTAAAAATTGCTTTTATTTTGCCATTGTGTAGAGTAGTTATTTGGGTAACTATCCATTTTATTCATCCATTCTTATTTGCTTCAAGCACACTACATTTATTCCATATACATATTTTGATTAGGCGAACTAGCAACATTTATTACTTATTGATATAACTAGGCCTAGTGTTTTTTAATATAACTAGGTCTAGATAGGCCTACTAATTTTCATAGATAGTATAGTAATATAGATAGATAGTAATTTCCCTATAGATAGGCCTAATGAATTTGCATATACATAGACTTAGAGGTTTTTACAAATTTGCAGCATCATAGTGTAGAAATGACTGAAAATCAAATGTATTTTATTTACTTACTGTCTTCTGCACTTATGACAAATGATATGGAAACAATACCAAATATAATATATATATATATATATATATATATATATATATATATATATATATATATATATATATATATATATATATATATATATATATATATATATATATATATATATATAATTGCCAACTGATGACTGGTATATTGAGAATAATGTGTAAAACATTACATTTCTATGATTCTTCTAAAGTATTGCGCTTAAGACTTTTGTCTTACAACTTTAGATTGGTTGCTTAAGTTGAACCTAAGAGTGTCACATCAATCCAAATTGTTAAATTATAGTATATTAAAATCTTATACAAAACTTTACTTAAAAGTAAGGTATTTTATTTAGCATGTATATTTAACATCATAACCAGCCTTTCTACACCTATCTTTTAAATCAATGACAACAATTAAAGATATAACAAATACTAAAATAACTTAGCAATAACTTATGGTGTGTGTGTGTACTTAGTGTTGTATAGATACAATATTATATTTAGATTAGGAACACAGTATTAAGATCACCTTACAGGCAATGACTAATTTTTTGTTTTTGTTTTTTTTAATGATAGTTGAGAAGGCCGTGACAGTAACCCAGGAGCTGAAGCTTAACATTACCTGTATGTCCCCACCGCCAGGCTTGTGTTTGATATTCTCCCGGGAGCCAACTTTAGGCTGAGCCTTAAAGACAAGCTTCTGGCTCTCAATCTTCTTGTCACCGCCTCCAGGCTTGTGATCCTTGTTTTCCAAGGAGCCAATCTTGCTGGTAACATTCCACTTCAGCTTTTGGGACTCAATCTGATGGTATGAAATAAATGAGTTTTCATGTGACAAACACTGGTGTGTTTGGGTAGAAGTTTCTGGCTCATCTTACGTCTAGGTCTTACCATGACAAATTAGAAGAGATAATGCAAATTATTATGCAATATGTTGTAGCAAAATAAACATACAGATGTCTGATGAATCATGCCTGGTAGTCACAGCAAAAGAAAACTCCAAGGAAGCGAAATGAAGGAATGCACATACAGAGGTGAACAATACAACACATCAATCTGGTGGAGAGTTGGTGATAAGAGCAGCATAGCTCACAATTTACTTCCTCTAAGCATTCAGGAGAGTCATAAACAAAAATATACACTCTTTTTAAGCTCTTTGAAAATCTTTTCATTCAGTCCAAAAATAGAGAGCTTGTTGGCAATGGTTCCTGTGAGAGAACACGAGGTGGAGTGGGAATGACCTGAGAGTGTGTGACCAGGACTAGAGAAGAATACAAGCCATTAACACTATACTGTACTAAACAAAATACTGACACCAAACATCACACACCATTATCTGAAGGTATATGACAAAGTACAGTATTATGATGACTCCACAAAAGTAACCAGAGGTATTACAGCAGATGCTCACACTATTCAAATTTTTGTTAAATAATATCTGATATTAACTGAAATTGTTTTCTTACTGTGAATGACTTAAGGGCATTACCATAAGTTAAAGGCAGACAAAAACTAACCATTATGTAACACCTCTAATGGGAAAAATGCAATAATAACTGACTTAAAATAACTTTATTATTTGCTCATTACTGTACAGTTTTGTGGTTAAATGTATCACGTGTACTTGTAAACATCTGCACACTTGTATGTGCAGTACATGCATTACATTCTAAGTTAACTTTAACAAGTAAGAGCTCTCAAGGCCTTTATTCACTACAAACAAAAAACTGGCGCGCTTCCTACCTTCTCCGGCTAAGATGAAAGAAAATGTTCTGTGTTAGAGACCTTACATGGGCTGGGAGGTGTTGCACACACTATATATATATACCCGCCTACACACACACACTCTTATTCTCTCTATGTCTTAGCAACCACACTTTCTACCTTCACTCCTAAATGGTTCACCTTTGTCAAAAATGTTCTAAAAGAGTGGGCAGATGTTCTAAGAGAGTGGGCAGATGTTCTAAGAGAGTGGGTATATTCTAAGAGAGTGGGCAGATGTTCTAAAAAAGTGGGCAGATGTTCTAAGAGAGTGGGCAGATATTCTAAAAGAGTGAGTAATGTTCTAAAAGAGTGGGTCGAGGAGTGTACCTTTCTTATCTACCTCCTTATCAATCAACACACACCAATTTACTCATGATAAATACTTTGTAAATGTTATCAACCATAGCCATCTTAATGGAACACTTGAGACCCACTGTTGCCATGTTAACCAACGTTACACATTAATATTTAAAACACAGTTTGGCAATTAAGGGAATGATTGCAATCACTTTTCTGTTGGTAACATTTAGGCTGAGTGTACTCAAGAATACTAAAAAGCTAATTATGTATTAAAAACTATTTTCAAATATAGATTCAAAAACAATGTAAAGTCGGACTAACGATTGACCCCAAAAGACAGTCGCATTACCCAAGTTAAGCCACAGTGAACCACATGTTGGTTATTTACTGTGATAACACACAGTTATTCAGTTATTTCACAGTTATTCACTGTGCTTGTAAAAATTAAAGTAGCAGCGCATATCATTGAATTCCTCTATGGGCACCTGTCCACTTGTTAGGCTCTCCCTGCTACCACAACCACACCTCCACCACACACCTGCTACCACAACCACACCTCCACCACACACCTGCTCAAAACTATCGCTACCCACTCAATTATATATATATATATATATATATATATATATATATATATATATGTATATATATATATATATATATATATATATATATATATATATATATATATATATATATATATATATATATATATATATATATATATATATATATATAAGGTCAGTGTCCTTGGGCTGCCAGGATAGACAAGACCCAAGGTTCACATCTGGGACAGGTAGAGAGTTGCTCCCTCTATCCTTGAGCCTATCCTGCCAACATTAACATCCCTTGTGTTACATTATGGTTGGTCTCCGTGTGACGCCGGCCTGGAGGCCTGTCAGTCGAGGGAGGGTTAGTGACACTACACACATACTTCCTGACCAACCGGAAAGTATACCTTGGTGCTGAGTATAGTGCCACACTAAATTAAACAGTGTTGTATAGACGGGGGGGGGGAGGGGGGAAGCAGTGGGGTTCACCTCTGGGTGGAGGTGCACCTTGGGCCTCACACTTGAAGGTTCTCGTGGCTATGGTACGAGTTTGAGCTTGGTAATGTGACTGTCTTTTGGTCGACCTGAACACCGTGTTGGATTCACCAACAGTAACAACCCCAATCATTCACTACCGTATTGCTCTACTTAACAACTCTATTGACACTTTATAGCACCAGTGCCACTTATTGAAGGTTTACACGTAATAAGAAAATTATAATTTATCAATATAAACTTACAAATCACTTAATTGTAGTGGCATCTGAACATG